ACATACAATATTAAAAAATATATATTAAAATTATTTAACAAATTACGTTAAATAAATTAATGTGTTTTTTTTTAAAAAAAAAAATGAGCGGGGTCAATTGACCCCGTAACTACCGACGTTGGAGTGATACAATGTCGAAGAAAACGCCATCCTGACATTGTGTTGGAAGTGGAGAATATTGTACGAAATATGGAGTTGGTTGACCCGTACATTGCTGTAATGTATACCATGAATGTTGAGGGGATTTGTCTTGCTGTGAAAGGTTCTTATTTTTCCAGCGTCTTTCATCATTTGATGAAGTATCAACATGTGAATGTAAGAAACAAAAAATTGCAGTTACATGTTGATTTATTCGTCAAGCATATGAAAAATTTTGATATCAAAAGTCTCTCTCCTTTATAGGTATATATGTCTTTAAAACTCACTTCTACTGTTATGCATATTATTGATTGTTTGATAGCTGAATGATGGTGTTTAATTGTGTCAGATTCATCTTATAGATTTGATGTTAGATAGCACGCATGGTAAAGTTTTGTCTTCTACATTGATATGACTAGATTGGTTAGAGGATCATGCAAAATTTAAAGAGAAAAAGAATGCTAAATTATGTGCAAGCAATGATAACGACAAGTCATTCAAGAGTTTGAAATATAAATGCAACATTTTTCTCGTGGTACCAACGGTTATTATTTTGAAAACATTCTCTTCAATATTCAGCATACCTGGTGGTTACTATGATAAGAATGACACTCTAAATTTGTTATTGTACAAATACTTTCAAGATTTTGTGAGTTACAATTCTGAAGCATTTGCGTATGGGGTGTCATCAGCTTTAATTCTAATTATAGGCATGCATATAAAAGGATTCACACTAATTAACCTTTATTGTGAAGGAATCTACATCTCAGTCAGCCTTTTTGTAGGGTAAAAACATTAAGTTATGTTGCAATACTTTATGATGCTAACACATACTAGTGATAAGAAATACTAAAGCTAGAGAGGTGTAATAAAATCTAAATTTTGTGAGAAACTACCTGATAAAGCCTAAGTAACATACTTAGCTAGCATCTAGTTTTTTACAACATTTAACCCTTATTAGGTAGTTTATTACATCATTTTTTTTATTACGTAGTTTCTCGCAAAATATGGTTTTATTACGTAGTTTTTGACAAAAAGCCCTTACATGATTGCAATTACTATTACTAAAAAAAAAAAAAAAAACATATTCATTTTGATAACACTTCAAAAAAATCCACCAAAATCTCAATACTAAAATAATATGCATTAATGTCTTAAAAAATGCATTAATATTTTTTATCTTAATAACTTCCAACATATTTTAAGGAGATCCATCGTTTAATATTTTTTAAGGATAGATGAAAACTAATAATTTCACCTTTACTCGATCTTCCATAAATAATCCTACATTTTGATTATTCCAAAACAATCCCACTTTGATAGATATCTTCTCCTTTGACGATCCATTTAATTTACAATATATATATAGGGTCAAATGAGAAGGATTTTATGTGCATAAAATTTTCACTAAATGTGCATATTTTTTGCACATAATGTGCATAAGTTCTCGTTTTTCCAGAATTTGCAAAAAAAAGTATCAGGTCCAAAATCAAATATGCACATTTTGTAGAAAATATATGCACATTTAGTTCAAAATAAATGCACATTTCATCCTTCTCATTATAAGATCCTTCTCATTATATATATATATATATATATATATATATATATATATATATATATATATATATATATATATATGCTATGGAGAAATTGGGTAGGAAAAGGAGAAAAAAAAATGATTGAAAATGGGTTATAAAACGTCCCTTATTCCTGAGAATAATTAGACAAAATATATCTTTTTGCAACATTAAGTGTTTTATAAGGTGGATTCTTACAAAACCCAGTGTTTATAAGGTAGTAGTTTCTTACAACTTTTTTTTGTTTGAAAAAGGTAGTTTTTCACAAAAACTGAAATGTATAACATACACTAGTAGAAAAATACAAATAGGCAGCCCCCAATTGGCACCGGTTCAGACCAAATCGGTGCCAAAAACTGGCCTAAAATTGGGCGGGGATTTAGACCAAGAACAATGGCACCGGTTCAGATCAAACCGGTGCCAAAAATAACAAGGCCACCGGTTTGAACCGGTGCCACTGAACCGGTGTTACAAAAAAAAAAAACCCGGATTGTTTATTTATAAACCCTAACATCCTTATCTCTCCTCTTAGCTTCTCTCTCCTCTCTTTCTCCTCCAAGGCTCCAACTGAGCGCCTCTCCTTCTCTCTCCTCTCTTTCTCCTCTCAGCTTTCCGACCTCTGTTCTCTATCTCTCTCCCCTCTCTGTCCTCTTCTTCTGACCTAAAAACTACATCTAAGCCCGGCTTCGTCCCTCTCGCAGTAGGTGCTTCTTGCTCGCCTCGCTCTTGTGAAATGCATGCTATCTTAGAGTGAGGTAATTGATCTTGGAATTATTTGATCTTGGAATTAATTGATCTTGGAATTATTTGGGTTAATTGATTTTGTCATTTTTTGCACTTAATTGATTTTTCGAAATTTCTGGGTGTAATTGATTTTCGAAAGTTTTGGGGTTAAGTGATTTTCTAGGTTTGCTGGGTTTAATCGATTGCTGGGTTTGCTTCTTGGTTTAATTGATTTTCTGGGTTTAATCGATTTTCTGAATTCTGGGGTTAATTGAATTTCTGGGGTTAATCGATTTTCTGAATTCTGGGATTAATCGATTAATTCAGAAAACCCAGCAAAATTATGGGGTAACCTAATTTTGCTGGGTTTAATCGATTGCTGGGTTTGATTTTGGGTTAATTGATTTTCTCGTTCATGCATTAGTTTTCTGGGTTTGCTTCTCGCTTCTTTTTTTTTTTTTTTTTTAGTTTTAATAAATTATGGGTTTTAATTTATGCAGGTGTTAATTCAAGCAACAAGGATTCAAGATTTCGATTTTGGAATATTATTTTGATGTTGTAAATATTTTTTTTTTTATTGTTTTACAATTTCAATTTCTGAGTTAATTATAATTCATTGTATTTTTGTTTTGTTTTGTATGGTACAATAACAATTTACTTGTTGAATTACCATTGTTTTAATGTTGAATATAACATTTTCAAGAATCCGCATTTCACCATTTATTTGTGTTTGGTTCGTATTTCATGTTTGTTTGTATATTATTTTTATTATTATTGCAAGAAAAAAGTTTTAAAAAAAAATAAATAAATACCAAAAAGGCACCGGTTAACCGGTGCCTAAAACAACTACCACTAACAAAAAATATTCCGCGAAATTATTTAAGGCATCGGTTAACCGGTGCCAAAACCGGTTTATGGCACCGGTTTTGAACCGGTGCCAAATAGGGGGTTTTTGGCACCCCTCAAATAGGCAGCGGTTCAAACCGGTGCCTTAGACCGGGTTTGAACCGCTGCCTAATGCGTTTTTTCTACTAGTGATAGTTCTTCACAAAAAGCTAGTCCTATTTAATGTTACAGATCCATCTTATGGAATTGATGCTGAGTACCTTTATTGGGAGAACTTTGTATAGGATGACCTTTATAAGACGACAAGAAGAACTAGATGTCAAAGAAAAATTAAGGGAGTTGAAGGAATGGAAATAAAATTATACTCCCTCGATCCGTCCTTAATTTACATTATTCCTACTTCTCTCTATTATATGAGGAATAAATGTTATATGTAGAAATGTAATTTAGGGACAGATGGAGTACTTTGTATGCAATTAAGAACAAAGGCTTGTCACCCAAAGGGCCTTATAAAATCAATAGGAGAACCAATGTTCTTTTGGTGGTAGCGACCCTTATAAACATTGTAAGATATAAAAGGGGATATTAATAAAATATGCATTGAAACGACTCAAATAAGAACCCACATGATTATGTTTTATCGGTAGCTATAAATCACAAAATCTAGTCAAAGTGAAGTTTATAAATGGTGCAATAGTCAAACAGTGTCAACTGAAAAAAAGAGGTACATAGTACACAAAACACTTGTACTTTTAATTTATAAATAATGCATCCACAGACTAGTACTAGCTATACTCTTGCATTTGTTTTACACGTATCATTGGAAACATTACGATACGCGCGGAGTGGCTTGCCCTTTCTTGATGTTTATATTGGGTTGTATTTAAACTCTTCACGACATTGGAAACATATTTGCAATTACTCAACAGTACAATATTGCAAAAACATCTACAAACTTAATTAGGAATAAATTAAACATAGTTAAAAAAAATCATAGAGCACATATTATATACTAACATGTAATTTATCATTGCATATGCATATAATAATAGAAAAGTTTTCGGGAGCATTTAATATTTGCGTATACTCTCACCCAACCTAGTAATTACTCTACATAAATTATATGGGATTAACTATATGAAACTAAATAAGCGTTTCCTCAAAAAAAAAAAAAAAAAAAAAAAAGGAACAGTTACACCCAACTCTCATAAACAATAACATTCTAGCAATAAGAGAAAATAAAGTAATCAGCTTGCATTTTCAACTTTCTTCCAAAAACGTGAATTTGACTATGGAGTAGAAAAAGCTTTATACAACCCCAATTGTAGCCTTTAAACCCTTGATAATTCCCTTGATTTTTTTTTTCACCGTAGTCAGTTTGGTTTCCTTTCTTCCTAATACATATAATTCGGCAAAATCATCATTTTCATTTCATTGGTCTCAATGTCATTTAAACATAATTATCTATAAGTCGTTAATTTTGACCCTCACAAATAAACAACTTTTTTGCTTGTTCAACTGATAAGTTGTCATGAAATTAAACTATAACCTCCATTAAATATCAAACATTTTAAATTTTATTATTTCACTTTTCATTTATTTTAATTAATTGAGTAGAAGGATCTTTCAAATTCATCCATCTAATAGAGTCATCTTATTAATTTCGATCATGCGAGGTGAACTCTAAATTTACCTATAATATAAATAAATAATATAAAAGTACATAAATGTAAGGAGAGAGAAAGATGAACACTCATTATTACATTTGTACACGTGGAAGGATATAAATGTAAGAAATTACATACGGGGTAGGAACGTAAACAAACATTTTGAAGGGCATATTGGTCCGTGCATTAATTATAAGCGCAATCTCTTACTTTTTAAGGCAAGGAGGGATACTAATAACTCCCTCCGTCCCCGAAAGAACGACTCATTTGGGTTAATTTTGCGAGTATTAAGAAACTTAATTTGCAAGTACAAATGTATGAGAAAACACAAGTCATTAATAATTTGCAAGTATAAATGTATGGAAAAACACAAGAAAAATTAAAGAAATTTTGGTATTTGGTACCTTGAAAATGGGGGGTGTTGATTTTTGGTACCCGTTTAATTTTTTTTATTTATTTTTATTTTGATACCCATCAAAGTGTAAAATTATAGGTTTTAGTACCTCCGTCATGTTCCGTTAAGTAATCCGTTAGTGGGGCCCATTATCTATTATTTAATAATTTAATTATTGAAAAAAAAGAAAAAACATTTTAAAAAACAACCACTAAAACCACTAGCCACCCATATTCCGCCGGCGGTAGACCAACCCCGCGCCCAGCAACAGCCACCCAACCCTGCCTCCCCGCGTCGACCCCCCCAGCCTGCATCGGTGCCCATTGTTTCCACTAAAACCACACCCCATCCCTTCCTGACTTAGCTTGAACCGAAACCGTTCTCCGACCACCGTAGCCGAAATCCAGGCCACCACCTCAAACCACTTTGCCGGCAGCCCAGACTCCCTCCCCTACGTCGCCGTGACCCACCTTATCTGAAAACCACCACATCGAAACCCTAAAACCCCAAAATCGAAACCCTTGATTTGGTTCCGGTGTGATGATTCATTCTACACAAAGCCACAACTGCCGCCGGAACCAGGAACGAGGAAGGGAGGGAAGACGGTGGGTGTTTGCGTGAGGGTTTCGGGGAAGGGGAAAATAGGGAGGGAAAGGGAGGGGGTGGGGTGGGGTGCGACCCTTATGGATGAGATTGGAGGAGGGAAAGGGAGGGGGTGGGGTGGACGGCGCCGACATCGGTGCCCGAGGAATTCGGCCACTAACAACCGGAAGTCGGCACAGGGGTAGGGTGGCAGCGCAGTGGCTGGTGGCAGGCTGGTGTTTTTGTTTTTTTTTTTTTTTTAATTTTTAAAGCTTTTTTATAAAATGTTTTTTCTTTTTTTTGATAAATTAAATTATTAAATAATTAGATAATGGGCCCCACTAATAAAAAACTTAACGGAACATAGACGGAGGTACCAAAACTTATAATTTTACACTTTAATGGGTATTAAAATAAAAAAATAAATTAAACGGATACCAAAATTCAACGACCCCCATTTTTGAGGTACCAAATTCCAAAATTTCCAAAAATTAATGGTATCAGGAGAGAGAAAAAAGTTTAGAAATTTAGAGAGGAGATGGCACAAAGATCTAAAAAGATACTCCCTCCGTTTTTTTTATATGCATCACTTGCATTTACACGGAGTTTTAGGAAAGTTATTTGCTTCAATATTATATAGTGCAAGTGGGGCAAGTGGATGATTAATTTATTTTGATAAAAGTACAATGTGGGTCATGAAATAGATAGTATGTGAGATAGAATGATTTATTTAATAATATAAGTGGGGACCATGAAAGAGAGTGAAATGATAAAATATTTTGAGTGGGGTATTTGAGAAGAGAGAGAGATAATAAAATATAGTATAAAGTTATCAAATATAGAAGTGATGCATATATAAAAAACACCCCTAAATAGAAAGTGATGCATATAAAAAAACCGGAGGGAGTACAAAGGTAAAATAGGGAGAAGGAGCTATATGACAAAAATATTTGAGGATATATTGGTAATTTTGTGATTTTAATAAATATTGGAAAAACAAATGGGTCATTCTTTTTGGGACTAAAATTAGGTCAAATATATCGTTCTTCCGGGAACAGAGGGAATACTAAATAAAAAAATTATTGTTTGGCAAAGTTATTGTAACAATAATTTCAATGTTGCTAGGAATAAATAAACTCGATTAGGCAGCATTGATAGAAGGTAATGGAACACGCTTTCTGTATTCTGCAAGTGCCCACAATGGAAATATACTCCTGTACATTGGATAATGTAACATGCAATTCCTCAAGAACACCCCTGTTATTTCCTATTTTTTAATCACAAGAGTAAAATTAAGTTAATTAACATTCGAAGTATAAAATATTGTAACTAAATAACTAATATGTAACTTGCGAAATAACAAAATTTAAATTTATGATTTTGTAGGAGGTTAATTATTTTACCTGCTGAGGAAAATCACCATTTTTGAGTTGTGAGTTGATCAAAAGCTTTGCTGCACGATGTAGGGGAGTTGGATCCCTCTCCGCCTATAATGTTGAAGTGTTGATTAGGAAATTTGAATAAATTAATGTAATTGTTAACGAACATATACAAAGTATATAAGATGAAAAAACAAAAATGGAATTAAAAGGCAAGTTAGGTGTAGTCTTAAGGATTATTTGTCTTTATAATCCGGTGTTTAAGAGCCAAGTAAAAATATAATAGTTGTGAAGTTGAATGACACGTGAATTGTTAATACCTGTCCAGCATGAAGTAGACCCATTAAAGCCCATCCCGTCTGAACCAAATTGGACTTTCCTTCTATTGACACAAATTCCTGTGGTTTACCAATCAAAAATCGTTAATTAAATATCAAATTAACAATTGAAAAAAAATGAACAAAGTATTGAATTATGTTATCAAGTACAAAGGAACCGTTCAAAAAAAGGTAAAACGAATTATCAAATCTTTACAAACAGGTGTGCAATTGTAAAATAAGGCAGGGGTTTAGCATGCATGAAGGTCGCAACACCTCGTCTTAGTGTGACACAATGCTAGCACACCGAGCCCTATATGTCTTCTATGGCTGTTTTATATGTATGTGCGAAGACACAATCTGTTTTAAGTAACGAGCTAGCTTTAAACTAATAGCGTGACAACTAATTTGCATTGGACGTAGTTATAAGGTTAATAACATACCTTTTTGGGACATGACATATAACTCTCACCCCATCCACCATCCTCCTTTTGTGTAGCAAGCAAAAATTCGACACCCTTCCTAACAGCAACACAATTATAGTACGTTTTACCAGCAGCTGCCAGCCCTCCAAGAGCAAACCATGTCCCATATATGAAGCAAATTCCCCATTTTCCATACCTACGTATAATTTGTGCTATTAATCAAATTAAAATTATCTATAAGAACGCGTACACATTGCGCACAAACATTAATATGTACTACTCCATCTATAATACATTGATACACAAATGTCATAGCTAGATTATTCATAATAGTATTTTCGTAATCAAGTTTCATTTTAACAACGAACATACCATCCTCCATTGGGATGTTGGGCGTTCTCAAGGTACCGGACTGCATTTACGATGAAATCGTCGATCTCGTTCTTCCTGTGGTCTGGGTATAACTTCTTGAACAGAGCTATACCTTGAATTGCTGAACCCGTGCATTCTACATAACTATTATAATTCTATTTTATTAGTAAACTACTAATCGATTAAAAAAGAGAGAGAAAAAAAAAATATCACTTCATAATAATGAAAGAAAAATAAACTCATAATAACAGTGTAGAAATTGTACTGTGACACCAAGTAAAATGTAAATTACAGATTTACAGGTAATACTCACTCATATTCAATGACAATGCCTTCAAAAAATTCGGTTGGGTTCAAAATCTGGAGATTGTACAAATAATTAGAATTTTTACCAAGATCAATCATATTTAATGATTGGAAAATTTATCAACATTGTTAGTACTTGGATCAATGAGTTGCATGAAAATAACGTACTCACCTCCAACCATTCTTGAGCCCCTGACGGTTCCCAAGCAGCTACCCCGCCAATTTTACTCTGAGAATAATTAAAATAAATAAATAAATAATTGATGCCCACATAATTTTTACTCCGTACTGTTTTTACTGCTTACTTGGTACCGTAGTAACATTGAATTACTATGCATTTGCTGTTGTAAAAAAAAAAAAAAAAAAAAAAAAAAAGTAACATTGAATTATGGCATAGCTGACTTCAGAAAAACAACTGTACTTATATTTAGTGAGGTGGTGTAGAGTTCTGGTTGTTAGCCACTTGGCCGTGATTTAAATGCTGATATTTTTTCAAGTAGCTTTTAGAATTTTGACAATAGACGGAAAATAGTGATTTAATTTAAATAGTAATTTAAATAGACGAAAAAGTGGTATTTTTATGTTTTGGAAAATTTTATGTAACTATTGTAAGTAAATTAAAAGTTTAGGTGTGTGATATGTTGTAAAATAAGTGTTTCAAAGGATACAAATAATAGAATGAATAATGTAATTATTTAATCAAAAGAAAGATGGTGTGGCATTACTTCATCACTGCCTTTGAAAACGAATTCCGACGCAATCGAGGTGCACATTGTATTGCCGGTAAGTTCACTTAGGTTACTCTCACTGAAAGACACTTTTGGATGAGAGGTGGAGCCATATAAACTTATGCCCAAAGAACAAATGTGTTTAGCTAGTTTTTTTTGTGTATGATGTACATCGAAAAGAAGATAACCAAGCCAAATTTATAAGGATGGAGTTTCAAGCTAGAAGGTGAATCTAGACATCAAAAGATGATTAAATCACCATAAACATCCAATTCAATGAGAGGTTACAAGAAAATCCAAGAGATGAATAAAGAAAGCCAAAAGGTGAATGTATGAAGACGTGAAATAGTCTACTCCACAACCCACTTGTGGGCAATCGTTATTGGTCACAACCTACTTGTGATGTAGGCTGATTTTTATGATAAAATAGAAATAAAAAGTTTACTCCACAACCCACTGTGGACAAATGTTTTAGGACAACCTCTTTGTGGACTAAACTGATCAATTACCAAAAAACATGCATGGTTTTTACTCTCTTTAATCCAACATGATAGACTGACAATTAATTATAAAACTGCCATATTACATTGTTAAACCCTTGGTCAATATCAATCAAATTAATTACGGTTATACTGAGTAGAATACAGAGTATTAACAATAGCAATGAATCTTTAATTTACCTGCAGAGAAAGCACAACATTGACAGAATCATAAAGTTGCTCAGGGTCCATCTTTTCTCCAACGATCTCCGGGGGTAATGTTGAAAACATTAGACAACACTATATTTTATAGAAGAAACCCGAGGTTGTTATATAACTAATTGAATATAAATATGTAAGCATCATAATGTATAAAACGGGAAAATACAAGTTAATCTGCCAATTAAACGAATTTTTGTTAATTTGATGGCATTTTTGTAAATATATTGAAAAAACAGGGTAATTTATTCAGTACTTTTAGTGAGCTGTCCAATTACTATTTGCTTTTTTGCTTTTACTGTTTGGTGAGGAAATTACACATGTACCCCTCAACTAGTACATGAAAAGATACATATACCCCTCCACTGGTACTTGAAAAGACAATTATACCCCCAGTAATTTGTTTATCTGGGGAATTGACTGGGTATCCCTAGTATAAAACTATAAAATAAATTTTGTATAACTGTAATTTACTAGTATTACTTGAATTGTTTAGGGGTCATACGTACCGTGAGGCCTTCAGCTGTACAATCAGAGACTTGCCAACCATGATCTTGATCAGAGAAAGTCCATGATCCCTTGGAGATATGGCGATACATAGATTTGAAGTCGCCCGATGGATTGTCCTTAACCTATTTTATATAGTACATAAACATGAACAAAATTAGCTAAGCCGTACGTATCATATTTACTAAAAACTTAAAAAGTTTATGGTGGCCGATTGAAATAGGATTATCATAATGTTGTACGAGTAATGCTTATACAATTTGCAACAACTTTTGGTGCAGCAGGCCGACCAAATCATGCGGCAGGGTTATCCGAGTTTTTTTTTAGGGGTTACTCAAGTTACTATGTTAGGGGTTACTTGAGAGACTATGGCAGGGGTTACTAGAGGGGTTCACTCGGTCTAGGGTTACTCGGTCATGGGTTACTCGAGTTACTCGGTTAGGGCATTACTCAGTCAGGGGTTACTTGAGTTACTTGGTCAAGGGTTATCCGAATAATTCGGTCAAGGGTTACGTACTTAAGGAGTTTGGTCAAGGGTTACTCGATCAGGGGTTTGAGGATTTAATCATGGGTTATTAGAGGAGTTACTCATTTAGGAGATACTTGAGGAGTTACTCAATCAGGGGTTACTCGATCAGGGGTTATTTGAGAGTTCAGTCATGGGTTACTTGAGGGGTTACTTAGTCAAGAGCTACTTGAGAGGCTACTCGATCAGGGGTTACTTGAGGGGTTCTGTCAAGGATTACTAAATGGGTTACTCGATCAGGGGTTAATTGAGGGGTTACTCAGTCAGGTGTAACTCAAGTAACCCCTAATCGAGTAACTTGAGTAACCCTGGCAACTTGAGTAACCTCTGATCGAGTAACCCATGACCGTGAAACTCGAGTAGTAATCCCCGACCGAGAAACAAGTATGGTAACCCTGGCAACTCGATTAACCCCTGACCGAGAAACTTGAGCAACCCTGGCAACTTGAGTAACCCCTGACCGAGAAACTCGAGTTATCCGCCCGCCAACTCGAGTAACCCTTGACCGAGAAACTCGAGTAACCCCTGACCAAGAAACTCAGGTAATCCATGCCGCACGGTACAACAGGCCGCGTACAAAAATTTATGTACAATTTATATTATTTGACTATTTTTTTCCTCCAAATAATAAATTAAATTTCTATATTTTTGGTATAAAATAATATTATCGACAAGTTGATGGGATGAAATTAATGACGTCATTCGTTGGATGACCTGGCAACATGTCATGTTGTATGTTTGAGGTGTGTTCCATGCATCAAATAATGATCACTTAACTCTTTATTCCGTATTGTGGCTAATTATACATTATCAAGTCGTTTGACAATAAATATTTCTAAAACTCAACATTTTGTAATAGTCATTTTACCAGCATCATCGTCAGTAGTTCTATTGCACAATTACACAACATCTATCGTATCTATCATCTATATGCAAATAGCTTTATGCAGATAGGTATAGCGCATTAGAGCCAACTGCAGAAGAGCTTACCAGATTGCGCGCGTGATGCTCGTAAGGAGCCACACTGATACACATGAAAATTTCACTTGACAATAGAAAAGAATATACCTGCGACTCTTTAATGAAGAAGTGGCCTTTCTTAAGAGCAGGTCCAATTTCGTCGAGGCTAAGATTTGAAGCTAGCAATGCTTGGACAGAAAGCGCACAATCCCATTCTTGACTTCCAAAACTCTGCATTTATATTATATTTATCACATCTCCTTTTTTTTTTTTTAGATTAGTAATGATCATGTAACATAATTTTGGAGAATTAATTTTTAATTTCATGTACATGTATGTATAATCTGTATATTCCATAAAAACCTCTTTGATGGAATTACCTGCATTTTCAACCCATCTTCAGCAATCCAAATGTAATCCGGGACTCTAGCGAGGTGTTTTTTGTAATGATCCCCTTTAGGGTTTTCCACCCAACAGGCTAACATACATAAAACCTACAATAATGTTTAATTTATATCTTAAGTACTAATTTTGTCTAATCATGTACACCCATGCTACACGTACATTAATTATATAAGTATGTTTCGATTGATACCTTCATAACACATCCCATGGTTATGTAACGACTGTTCTCATCTTCATAATGAATGTGTTCCATTGTAACCTCGAGTGCCTTCTTTCGAATCAACTTGTTGAAAGGCCAACGAGTAAGGAGAGGCTCCGTAAAGATGTAAAGAGCGTCCCACATTAAATCTTGAATTAATGGATGAGGGTAGTAAAGATCCTCCTATTATTTTGTAATCGACATAGTAATTAGTTAGTTTATTGAAAATTACGAATATATTGAAAATCATGAATAAAGGCCAAGCCATATAATCTTACCGGTGCACACAAATGACGCATTTTCTTCCAACTAATCTGTTCAAAGGGTTCGTTGTAGAGCTCTTCTCTAAGTTGCTTAATGAGAGGTGTTATCGGACCTATGAACCTCTTCCCATACAAGTATGACATTGGCATATAAACCATTCGACAGTAGCACCACATTTTTGCTGCATAACATCAAATTTTGGTACAAAAATCGTCAAGAAATTAATTTTTATTTATAATCACTAGCTAGCAGTAAACATAACGTGTTACGCCGTACAAGATATATATCTAGCATGAATCCTGAAACTTAATACCTGGATGCATAGGGAGGAAAGATGGAAGGATCCAGAACTCAGGCGGCATTGGATTACTTCCACACCAATCAAATAAGCCAAGTATCTAAAAGGCGGGGTAGAAATATCAAATATGTTTTAGTTGTTGCAAGTCACACATATTAGTGAATGAATCATACATATTAAAAAATGGTCAAGTTATGACTTATGCGAAAGTACAATACATAGTAGTTATATGACTTGCTTGACTTACACAAAGCCAAGTTTTTCCCCAAGAAGGGATATGAGTAACACTACCATGGTCAAGGATCCATTTTCGAGCCCTAGGACAAGCATTGTCATCACCCTCATCCGGTCCGATTCCAAGCATTCGCAAACAAATATAGTTGAGTGCAGTACAAAACATGGTACTGTGTCCTTCAATATGCAATCCCCAACCTCCATCTTCATTCTATTACAATAAATTTTATGATTAGTCCAATTTTTCCTTAGGAAAGTAAACATATTTCCATAGTCAAACCTCTTAAATTCATCATTATATTGTGAAGAATATGAGTTAACCTGATGATAATAGATACTACGAAGAATCTCTCTACGATGCTCTGGTCCAAAAACAGAATTCAGATCCCCTGTAATGTATAAGCAGAATACCTGCATGACATTACATGTTTATGTACATATAAATGTTATTACATTATAACGAACTCTTGAAAACTTTGTCATGAAATGATGCAATTACATAATAAATGAGAAATATATTGTTAAGGGACTAACCAAAGGAGGGAGGAAAAATTGAGGGCCAGCAATTTCAGCAGGCCAATGGCCATGTTCAGACTGCAGGGCTGTAAATAAATTCACTGCTCTTTTTAATGTTGTCGTCGCGGTTTCGTATGTGATCTCCTCCCCTTCTTCCACCTTCACTTGAGGTATTGTTTGCTTGAAGTTTTTCTCTCTTAGGAACTATGGTTCAATGATTAATTGCATGATTAGTGGTTTTTGTATACATAAAATGTTCAATCACAAAGTTACTTTGTTTCATCAAAATGAAAGAAAGAGATTTAGCATCTAATAATTTATATCATAAATTTAAAAATTGTTGTGTGCCATGTGTCATTCCACAAATAATAATAATAATAATAATAATAATAATAATAATAATAATAATAATAATTCGTTGGGAGTACTTAAAGATGGCACCGGGTCGGTCCAGCCCAGCTCGAAAAAAGCACAACATGACATGGACTCGATGTAGGCTTGGCACGATGCGTTGTGCTTGTTGGGTCGTAGACTGCCTTTATTTGAGAGAAGCACGATAAGGCACGACATGATCTGGCCCCGCAAAACAAAGCGCGCTAAAACCAATGAAATTTTGCTGCACACAAGCCCAACACGACCCAACACGATGTCATGCGAATCTTAGGCCATGCACGGGTCAACCTTTTGAACATTTTAGCTCACACGACCTAACATGTAGGGGTGAACATGGTTTGGTTTGGTACGGTTTGAGTCCAAACCAAACCAAACCACAAAAAACGGTTTGGTTAATTTTTCAAACCAAACCGTAATAATTCGGTTTGGTTCGGTTTGGTTTGCGGTTTATGATTAGACAACATTTTTTCCTAAAAATTGACAAATAATACTTAGTAAATTTATAATAAAGTTTAATAAATTAGCTCGCTCAAAGGGATTAAATTGTACTACAAAGTTATAATAAAAATAACTATCATAAATTATTAGTTTTTAGAGAGAGATAGTTCCCTCTAGGGTTTTCCCTTGGGAGGGTTTCCCCTTGGAAGTTTTTTCCTAGCCTCTTTTGCTAGGGTTTTTTCTTCAATCCTTCCTTACTTCTCTTCATTTCCTTCATTTTTGATTTTTATTTGTCAATTTTGTAGGGGCTTCCACTAATTTTTATCGGTGGAAAGCCCCAAAATCTCTTTAATTGCTTTCAATAAAAAGATACCATCCTTAAGATGGTGTTCATGGTAGAGGGATTTTAATTACTTGTTTATTGAAGAATGAAGATCGAAGGTTTCACAATTTCTACCGGAGTTTAGAAGACCACGGAAGTATATTCATCCAAAAAATTATGCATCTGCAGATTTTATGCCGAATCAGAGCGAACTCATATATTGTATTGCTTCGGATGAAGTTTTTTGTTAAGGCTAATATCAATCGATTCCGCGATGTTGTTATTTTTAGGGTTTTACATATTTTTGTTAGAATTTTAAATTTCTCAAAAATTGATTGTAAGTGCCGTTTGAATATTTTATAAATGAAATCTTTAATCTTCATCAACTAATAATCAAGTGCTAATACAATAACACTTATAGTTATCTTTTTGATTTTTCATGTTTTTTTGATTTTTTTTATTTTATAATATATATAATTATTTTAATTTATTTTAAAATGATATAAATATTAAAATACGGCTTACTCGTTTACGGTTTGGTTTGGTTTATAATTTTGAAAAAGCTAACCAAATCATAAACCGTATTTACAAAAAAAAAAAAAAAAAAAAAAAAAAAAATCAAAACCAAACCAAACCAAACCACTATAATGCGATTTGGTCTAGTTTGGTCACGGTCCAGACCAAACTGTGTACAACCCTACTAACATGTAACTCATGGGCCAAGCCATGAGCCAGGTCTAACTAACCCCAAAGCACGTGGGTTCGGCAAGCCAGAGCCATCTTTAGGATTACTTTTATAATCTATTAATAAACTAAAACAACAACCGCTTACTTCATCATTTTTTCAAATTGTACACATGTCAAGTTGTGGTTAAAAATTTTCCCGCCTAAATTAATTGCAGACATCATATTTTTATTTTTATTATTTACCTTAAATTATTACAATAGTTTTTTTATTTTTTATTTTTTTTTAAAAAACAATTAATATATTATATTATATTCCATATATTCATGAATTTATGAGTTACTATATGATTTCAAAATATAATCACTCCCGATTAAAGTGTACTTGGTATTGCATTATTTACTTAAATTAATACTCTTATTCAAGATTAGTTAGATATAAATAGCAAGTTTATAATCAGTTAGATATAAATAGCAAGTTTATAATCAATGTTAGATTATGTAAATAATTTAGTGTATATTATTAGTTTGTATTTTACTAATTAATGTATCCTTAGACCTTAACCTTAACCCTAATTAGTATACCTGCTTGTATATATAATGATATTTAATCAATGAGAAAGGTATGGCAAATATTTTCTCAATCTTATTATCAAGCTAGAAAATGTACCTGAAGACGCCATAAAATATCTCTACATGGCTTAACTTCAAATCGATTGTTATAGAAGTTACGACGTGCCTCCTCCACCTCTTCCCTCTCCTCGGGTGTGCCATAATTGGGATCAAACTCCCAAATTTGACGTCCAACAAAGTTATTAGTACTGTATAAGTAAGGGTCATTTGCACCTTCTCCTACCTTTAACCTCCACATCTTATGATCCCAATTTTAGTACAATCTCCTGAGCAAATTAAAGTTTATTTATAAATCACTTTGTCAGTGATCCAACTATGAATTGGGTATAGAGTATATACATACACTATAAAACTTTGTATAAAACTTAAATTGATAAATGATGCTCGTAATTCGTTTTATATAACACAAACACGCGTTTTGTAAGCTTATATACTCTGTACGAAGTATATCTAAATCATGTTTCTCAAAAAAAAAAGTATATCTAAATCATTCCCTTTATTATTCCACCTCAACTAACTACTTGACTATGTAATTAAAGACTACTGACTACGTACTACGTACTCCATACATAGTATTCATTCAAAATCAAGTAAGGTATTCAAACGGGTCACTTGAATTAGTGACCTTCCAATCAATAACTTTCCTTGTTGGCAAGAAAGCTTATGATTCTTTAAAGTGGAGTAAATCTCTAACCACTTGAGCTAACTTTTACTCTCATATTTTGATTTTTATGCTATACTATTTTGGCCCCGTGCAATGCACGAATTTATAAAGCAAGATTTATTAATAATATAGTCAATTGAAATTAAATGACTTATGTAACACTTTTTTTTTTTTTTGAAATTTAAATTTATTAATGTGTTACAAATATATAAAAATAAATTTATTAAAAGAATTTTGATTTTTTAATTGATTTTTTTTTTTTTTAAAAAAAAGCATTTTGGAGGGAAATTTTTTCACAAAATTATGCCAAGTTTCTCATCCGATGATTACTTTAGTATATAAGTATAGATAGATATGGATTTAATTAGTGATTTTCAATTGTGCTTCTGTTTTTTTATACTCCATCCGTTTTTAAATATTTGCTCCATTTCTCCATGCGCGGAGTTTTAGGAAAATTTGAAAAAATAATAAAATATAGAGGTAGATAGTGGGGTAGGTGGAAGAATATAAAATTGTAAAATGAAAAAGTAATGGAGAGAATTGGAGGAGAGGGAATATGAAATTAATAAAATATGATTTATGTTGGGTCCATTAGGTGAGAGAAAAGAATTAAATATTGTAAAAGCATTCCAAATAAAGAAATGGAGCAAGAATTTAAAAACGGTCGAAAAAGGAAAGTGGAGCAAGTATTTAAAAATGGAGGGAGTAGTTGCAACACTTTTCTTTTCACGTTTGCCGATGCATGTTGTGAATCGTTAATATATTTGATAACCAATATGTAAAAATGATAAATTTTAGATATTAAAATTGTACAAATCGAGACGAATCTAACAAGATTCCACATGATTATATTTTTATTTATGTATAAATCGTCAAACCTAGTCAAAGTGAAACACATGAATAGTGTAAAAGTCAAACTCTTGCAACTATAAAAAAAAACCCGGAGGAAGTATGTTTTAGGGCCTGTTCCCTTCAGCTTATTTTCAGTTCAGTTCAGTTCAACTCCAATAAGTTCAGTTCAATTCAACTCCAATAAGTTCAGTTCAATTCAGTTTAGTTCTTATCTTAATTTCCTTCTCTCATAAAATATGCAATTCAGTTCAATTCAACTCCAATAAGTTCGGTTCAGTTCATATCTTAATTTTCATTGTCTCATAAAATATTAAGTTCAGTTCAATTTTGTTCAGCTTCAATAAGTTCAATTCAGCTCAGTTCAGTCAATCAGAACAGAGTCAACAGACCCTTAGGGGTAGTGTACATTGGATTGCTTACCAAATTACTATGTTTTTTTTTTTTTTGTTTTTTTGTTTTTTTTTTTTTTTTTTTTTTTTTTTTGAGGTCACTATGTATATTTTCATAATATCAACCTTTTATAATTTATACTTGTTGACAATTTAAAATATTAATTAAAAGCATTTTTTTTATAAAAAAAGGGGTATATGATTTGGTGAATAGAAACCATACCATTAAATAAACAAGTAATAGTCATAGCTAGAAACTAAATAATGTGACATTTCATAAATTCACAACTTTTAATACCACGTTAGGAAACATGTTGAAGGTTTTATTATACCACGTTAGGAAACACGTTAAAGCCTACAGAGTACAAAAATAAAAAATTAACGACGCATTGAAATGAGGAATACAATGATTAGGGAAGTGGATCCCAAATGCAAACCAATCAAATACTGCCAACAATGATTGTATGTAGGTTATTACATACAACCATTGTATGTGTAGCCTTTTTCGGAAATGTTAAGGGATGTTTGGCAACTATAATTTAATTAGATATAACGTATGGGTTTATTAGAATGGTTTAAACCCATATTTTGTATTTGTTTTTATGATTTTAAGAGTTTCAAACTCATACCTCAAGCGTGTAGATGTGGGGTATAGAAACCTAGGGAGGGAGATGGGTTTGATTCATTCAATTCCTATACTTTTAGGTATCAAATAAAAGAAAAAAAAATTCAATCCACACTTATACCAAACATATGATATTGAGAATTAAGCTCCAAACTCATACCACTGTAGTTTCATTCTTGATATCAAGTCAACCATATACCAGTTTACAAACCAAACACCCCCTTAAAATTTTAATTAATACCACATAATAAGGAAACACGTTAAAGCTTAATACAGAGTACACAAATTAATACCACGTTAGGAAACACATTAAAGCTTAATATGAAGTACAAAATAAGTTAATGTAACAAACACGTTAATGTCAAATCAATCATCAATATATTATATATGGAGTATAAAAACAAGCAAGCGAATTAGTGACAAAATGTCAGCTCTAATTTGCTTATCTAATGTCAAGCGTGTAGGTGTGGGGTATAGAAACCTAGGGAGGAAGATGGGTTTGATTCATTCAATTCCTTTACTTTTAGGTATCAAATAAAAGAAAAAAATTCAATCCACACCTATACCAAACATATGATTTTGAGAATTAAGCTCCAAACTCATACCACTATGGTTTCATTCTTGATGTCAAGTCAACCATATACCAGTTTACAAATCAAACACCCCCTTAAAATTTTAATTAATACCACATAATTAGGAAACGCTTAAAGCTTAACAGAGTACACAAATTAATACCACGTTAGGAATTAGGAAACACATTAAAACTTAATATGAAGTACAAAACACGTTAATGTACAAACACGTTAATGCCAAATCAATTAATCATCAATATATTACTCCCTCCGTTTCAATATGATAGTCTCATATGGAATCTATCACATAAAATAACAAAAGAAGAATATTTGGAATCTAACATTAAAGTAAAAAACAATTCATAAATAGTTTTGCCTTATTTAAACTTTTTTGTTTTTTTTTAGGAAACCGTAAAGTATAATTGAATATTCAAGGGAATAATTTCTTTACTTAGACTCATGTCATCAATGCACAATCATTAATTTAACCAATCATAATTTAATATGTATAAAATAGGAAATAAAAACTAAGTTAAAAGTAGAATATATTCAATATGGGTAGATCTTTTTGAAACGCCCAAAATAGTATATGGGACTAACAAATTGAAACGGATGGAGTATATAAGGAGTATAAAAACAAGCAAGCGAATCAGGTTGACAAAATGTCAACTCTATAATTTTCTTATCTAATTTATATAATAGTTTTAGTGTTGTCAAATCTCAAACCGAAACCGTTTAACTGCCCAAAACAAACCGATCCAAATGAGAACTGAACCGATTAAAAACCCTTTTTTTTTAACCGACCCGAACCGTATGTGAATGAACCCGAAACCGAACCGATCCGAATAACGTTACATCGTATAAGAATCGAACCCGTTAATGAACCGAACCAGTTCTAAACCGAACTAAAATCAAACCGAACCGAAAAAGAACCGGGCTGTTTCTAACCTGAAACCGTTTGAACCGGAATAAAAACCGTTTACATCGAACCGTTAACAACCCGTGACCTGTTTGCACCAAACTGTATATAAACTGAACCGCTTGCAAACCGAATCGTTTATGAACCGGACCACTTATAAACGAATCAGTTACAAACTGCTTACTATAAAGAGAATATTAAAATCAAGTTAAAAGGTGTTTTAAATGAAATTAATTATCATAGTACAAAAAATTTTCCTGCCAAATTAATATTTATTGAAAATTTATTATCATAGTATAAAATATCTTTTGCCAAATTATTATCATAGTAAAAATATATCTTCCTGCCACTAAAAATTCTCATGCCATAAACTGAACCGAAAAAAAAACCGAACCAGTTACAAACTAAACCGAAAAAGAACTGAACCAATTATAAACTGAACTAGTTATAAACTGAACCGAAAAAGAACCGAAATGTTTCTAACCAGAAACCATTTCCAACCCGAAACTGTTTGAACCGGGATAAAAACCATTTATACCGAACCGTTAACAAACTGCAACCCGTCTGCACCGAACCATTTACTACCCGGATTGTTTACAGCCCGAACCGAATTAAAACCATTCAAGAATAAACCGGAACTGAATAGAACCGATAACTATTTAAACCGAACTGGAACCAACCCGCGAGACACTTAAACCGATTTCAAAACGACCCGATTTAATACCAAACCGATTTCAAACCGAACCGAACCTGAACTGTCAAACGGTGAAAAAAAAAAGTTCAAGTCCCAAAAGGTGAAAAGTATAAAACTTTAGTCCCTAATTATTACTAGGGGTGAAAGTTCGGGTTGCGGTTTGGATTATAGGCAAAACCGAATCCAATCCGAATTAATTCGGTTTCGGAAATCTCAATCCAAATCCAAACCGAATTAAGATCCAATCCAATCCAATCCAATCCAAACTGAATTAATTCGATTTTTCAAATTAGAATCCAATCCAAACCAACATTTGTCCCCTTCTTCTGCAGCATTCAAACCCGAAATTCAGTCTTCACCCAGAAAATTCCTACAATCATTTCTTGTTAACTAAATTTTTTGTGAGAGAGTAAGATATTGAGAAAGGAGATTGAGAATTAGTGTTTTTTTTTTTTTTTTTTTTTTTTTTTTTTTTTTTTTTTTTTTAAGTTTATATATGAAAGGGGAAAGTGGTTGGATAATTTGAAAAAGAAAATGTGCTTAAAGTATTAGGTCAAAATTCGATTTTCGGTTTTTTTAAACTCCAAACCGAATCCAATCCGTAATCCATATTTTTTAATTTTTTCAATCCGATCCAATCCGAATTAAAAAAAAAAATCCAAACCGAATTACTAATTCGGTTTGGTTTTCGGTTCAGTTCAGTTTTAATCCGAATTACTTTCACCCCCTAATTATTACCTTAACTCAAATTTATACCAACCTTGCCCCCCTAACTCCCCTCCAAATTGTTTAGCCCACTATCTCGAGTTGGTTGCTGTGTGGGGTATTGCATGAATCGGTGGTGCCCATCTTACACAAAAAATAAAAAAATTGTGCCAATTTATTGCATTTTCTACCAGCAAATGTAAAACTTCATACAGCAATAGAAAATGAGAAATCCATACGTTCACATGAGTAACATTGAAGTATAAATTTAGGGTCTGTTCTCATTGACTGAACTCAGCTGAACTGAACTGAACTGAACTGAGCTGAGCTGAACTAAACTGAACTGAACTGAACTGAATATTTTATAAGAGAAGGAAATTAGGAGCTGAAGTGAACTGAACTGAACTGAACTGAATTGAGCTGAACTGAACTGAAATGAACTGAACTGAACTGAATTTCAACGTAAGAGAACAAGCCCTTAGTATCTTGTCAAAAACGCTTATTATATATGTATTTTTCCAGTATACAAGTATATTGGATGTATACAAATAATTTCCCAGATAAACAAAATTTGTTCATTCGGGAGTATAATCATCTTTTTAACTATCAATGGAGGGGTATATGTGTCTTTTCATGTACTAGTTGAGGGGTACATGTGTAATTTCCTCACCAAATAGTAAAAGCAATTTGCAAACAGTAATTAGACAGGTCACCAAAAATACTGAATAAATGACCATACTTTTTCAATATATTTACAAAAATATCATTAGATTAACAAAAATTCGTTTATTTGGCAGACAAACTTGTATTTGCCCCAAGTATATTAGTACATACATATCACATAATACTTTTCAAAACAAAAGTACATATCACACAGACATTCATAGTAACACTTTGCATCATGTGCATGGGATGAAACGCCCATAGGTAGCGAATGGTAGCAATGACTCAAGATACATATGTAATGTTACTTTGACCTTCGAAAACGCCCAAAAGATGAATGGAAGAGCTATGTTGAATGGTATATTTGCTTGTAGCATGTACTCCTTGACACTTTCAACCGCAACCCTGGTTGTCTGCGAATCTTTATTAGCAGTATATAGCGTTAACGCATTTTGGAATGAATATGCCATATAAAAGAGCCCACTGAAAATATACCATCCTCCAAAATAAAGGCTTATCCCTGTAAATCCTTCTATATGCATGCCTAAAATGAGAATTATAGCTGTTATTATTCCATAAACAAGCGCTACAGAATTATTAGAGACAAAAAGCTGAAACGATTCGTGTGAGACCAAATTTGGTATACCAGTCTGATGCATATATTTATAACCACCAGGAGGGCTAAACGCCGAAGCAAATGTAACAGTTATGATAAGCGTCGCTACCACCAGAAAAGCGTTGGCTCTCTCCTTACTTGTAGGCTTGTAGCCCCATTAGAGCCTCTATCCTTACATGCATATATTTTTGTCGCCTCCACCTCCTTAAATTTTTCTTTGACCTCTAGGTCATCTCGTCTTGTAAATGATGAAAACAAAGTTCTCCCATTAACGATATTCAACATCACTTCCATAAGATGGATCTGCATTGTGAAACAAGAATATGCATGTCATGTATATTGCCAAAGGTTTTTAATCGAGTGAAATTTTAAATTTGTTTGGAGTAATGAATTACAAAGGATCCAAATGAGAAGATGCATGCTTAAAATAAATATTAAAGGATGAAAAATATTTTATCAACAAATGAACAGTAATATTCATACTCATTTGTTTATTAAATGAGCAAATACATATCCGAGTGTACATAATAATCTCTCTTTTAATATTGGTATGCACATGTGCAAACTTTTATACTCAAACACGATATGAGTTTCCAAAAAAGCAAAAAATATTATCTAACTGGAAAATCAATCTTTTCATCCTTGTATATTATTAACCCTACAATCAGAATTTTTTTTTAATAGTATGCTCCATCTTTTATGAGTTATCTATCAACAACTGTAAAGGTAAGAATGTACCAAATTTATTATCAAATTAAACAACATCGTCAAATATGCTTTGCATCAAATTAAAATATATTCTCAAGGAAGGCATGTATACCTGTAGAAAAGAAAGGCCATTGAAGCTACCACCAACACCAACCATTGAAGCTACCACTAACACCCACCATCTTTAACAGCAAAATGTAGTGGAGTATTACCATTATCATCAATTGTATTGATCAGCTCCTTAAACTTTCGTTTATGCAAATATGCAATGATGTAATAGTTGCCGTCATTCTTTGCTGCAACATGGAGGACGTTTTGATCTTTGCTATTAAGCAAATGCAAGTGGTGGAAGAGTTTAATGACCTTTACGAAACCCCCTTCCGCTGCGTGGTGGATTGGAAAGGATCCATTCTTATCTTTATCACGCTTAAACTCAAGATCGGGACATTTTTTCAGTAATAATTTAACCCCCTTAACATGACCACTAAATGGAGGAATTCTCTGTTCGTATCTCACGAGGGTAATATGGTAAAATCGTGAAAGTATTCGTTATTCTAAATCAATGTGGATGTTTCCTTTTTATTTTTTGGTACCCTTATGTTAAATGTCTGGTTTGTGACTTGTATATCATAGGGAGTAATAGGTATTCTGCTCTTTTAGTAGTAATTATAGTTCTGTTTGTGTTGTATGTATAAGATGATAGTCTATCCTATGGTGGAGCTGTGAAATGTAGGTCACAAGTTATGGTGGAACTCTCCAAAGGTAGCATGAGGGTAAGTTTTGCTAGTATTTGTATTGGGTTTGATAAAAGTTAATTGAGGTGCTGTTTTGTGGTTTGTTGGATAGGGGACTTGCTATTCTTGCCTCGAACATGAGTTGTCGGGTTGAGGTAATGTTTGTATTTTAAGCATAAGACACTTAGATTTTTGTTTAATGCTCAAACATTGATTTTTTTTTTTTGGATGTACAGTTGCCGTCAACAGTTCCGGTCAGGCTCAAGTATAGGCAAAGGAGGGGCCATACAACTTAATAGATGGAATAATATACGAAGAATTAATATTAGTATTAATAAAAGTGTATTGTTTGATGTATTAATGAAATTCAAGGTGCGGGTAACTGCAATTTTTTATCTATCCTTAAGGATTTAATTCGAGAGAATAAACCCAATGTCTTTGTTCTTGTGGAGACACACATGGGTGGTGCGCAAGCTGAAAAAATTGCCTCGATGGTTGGCTATTCGGGTCACTCAAGAGTAGACGTTGTTGGTTTTACTGGTGGGATTTGGGTTTATTGGCGACCGGATGTTGTTACTGTCAATCCCATTCATAAACACAAACAATATATCACGATGGATATTTCTAGACAAGGAGTTGTCCCATGGTACTTCACTGCTGTATATGCGAGTCCGGACCCTTCCCAACGCCAAGAGTTATGGCAAGAATTGAAAAACTTTGCAACAACCCACAATAAGCCTTGGCTCATTGCGGGTGATTTTAATGATACGAGGTTCCCCTCGGAGAGGAACTCATCCTGTCGAGAGACTACTAGGAGGTCGCGTTTGTTCAATGATTCGGTGGAAGAAATGGATCTCATTGAGGTCGAATTTATGGGAGCAGCCCACACTTGGAGCAGGGGCAATTCTGAAGAGACGAGAAGAAGTGGCAGGCTCGATAGAGCGTTGTGTACAGACAATTGGGCTCTTCAATTCGATAAGGCCAAGGTTAAACATCTGCCTACTATACATTCTGATCATTGCCCAATTTTTATCTCACCAAATGGTTTTGTACCTTTACAAGCCTTACACCGTCCATTCAGATTCCAAGCAACTTGGTTAACGCATGAAAATTTCAAGGAGTTTGTATCTCAAAAATGGGATTCGAATGGTACACTCATGTCTTCTCTGTCAAAGCTATCGACAGACCTTCAATGTTGGAATAGGGATGTCTTTGGAAATGTGTTCAAGCAAAAGAGAAATTTGATGGCAAGGATTGCAGGGGTTCAAAGAAAACTTGCTGAAAAATCATATAGAGGTCTCATTAAACTAGAAGCTCGTTTGCGCAAGGATCTTGATGAGATTTTGGATCGTGAAGAAATTATTTGGTATCAAAAATCCCGGGTTGACTGGCTTAAAAATGGGGATAGAAATACTACATTTTTCCATTTAAGCACCATAGTACGAAGGTGGAAAAATAAGGTTGCTGCCATCAAAGATGAAAATGATGTTTGGTTGGAGGATAAATTGCAAATTCAAGACCATATTGTTCAATACTTTGCCAAGCTGTTCACAGAAGAAAATGAGCCGAGTTCTTTTGATGTTCCCCAAGACATTTTTCCGGAGCTTTCTACCCAGGATTGGAGTGGGCTGGTTCGACCTTATTCGAGACTAGAAGTTGAAGTTGTGATAAAGGAAATGGGCTCCCTAAAAGCTCCGGGACCGGATGGATTTTAAGCCCTTTTTTACCAAAAAAATTGGGATGTGGTGGCTAACACGGTGTATGATACAATTATGCCTATCCTAGAAGGTGAGGGTATCCCTGATCGCCTCAATGAAACATACATCACATTGATACCAAAAATCGATAATCCAGAGCTTGCGTCTCACTTTCGCCCCATTGGACTATGCAATGTGGCATATAAAGTGGTCACCAAGGTGATTGTCAATAGACTTAAACCGGTCCTGCCTCATTTAATCTCTATTACTCAAGCTAGTTTTGTACCGGGACGCCAAATCACGGACAACATTGTCATTGTGCAAGAAGTAATTCACACGATGAGACGGAAGCAAGGAAAAAAGGGGCATATGGCAATCAAGATCGACTTTGAGAAAGCATATGATAGATTGCGATGGTCATTTATTAGGGATACCATGGTACAAATGAACCTCCCTATTTTTATGATTGAGGTTATCATGGAGTGTATTTCCACAGCTTCTTTGCAAGTATTATGGAACGGTGAGCCCTCAAAAAGCTTCAAACCGAGCCGAGGTATACAGCAAGGGGACCCTCTTTCCCCATACCTCTTTGTAATGTGTATGGAGAGGTTCTACCAAGTAATCGAGGAATCTATTATTCAAGGTAAATGGAAGCCTATATACGCCAGTCGAGATGGTCCAGCCTTATCGAACTTGTTTTTTGCCGACGATATAATTCTTTTTGCTGAGGCTACAATTGAACAGGCAGAAAATATTCATAAATGCTTAGACCGATTCTGTCAAGCTTCTGGTCAAAAAATAAGCTTTGCCAAATCACGAGCTTATTTTTCAGCAAATATGGATGATGATTCTTAACAAGCGATAAGTGCAGCCTTGCGTATGGAAGCTACCCCTGATCTTGGTACTTACCTCGGTATGCCCACGCTTACAAGTCGAGTCACAAAGGAGACGTTCAGCCACCTCTGTGAAAAAATAGATAGACGATTGTCGGGTTGGAAATCAAAGTATTTGTCGTTGGCGGGCCGTATCACTTTAGCTAAGTCCTCCATCTCAACCATGGCTCTTTATTCTATGCAATCGGCTAAGATTCCGAGATCAACTTGTGAAGAAATTGATAGAAAAACCCGTAGATTTATTTGGGGTGGAAGTGATGAGAAAAGACGAGTGCATTTACTGTCATGGGAGGTGCTGCAACGACCCATTGAAAAAGGTGGGATTGGTATTTTCTCGGCTAAACAGGCTAATGCGGCTTTCTTAACAAAGCTTGGTTGGAGAATTCTCTCGGAACCTAATGCCTTATGGTCTAGAGTGTTGAGAGCTAAGTATTGTAAGGGCCGTTGCGATATGGATATGTTTGGACATAAGGTGGGATGCTTTAATGTGTGGAGTGGGATCACAGAAAATTCGAAAACGCTTAATGAAGGTCTAAGAGTTGCGGTGGGCAATGGTGGAAAAACTTTGTTTTGGGATCACAAGTGGGCTACTAATGAACCCTTCAGAGACCTCGTTACCCAACCTCTTCCAATGGAATTGGCAGGTTCGACAGTGGGTGAGATGTGGGAGGATGGGCATGGATGGCGTTGGAACATCTTTGCCCCATTCCTTGATCAAAGTGTTCTTAAGAAAATTCAAAATTATGAGGTGAGACTTGATTCCTCGATTGGTGATTTGGTGTATTGGAAGGATGGTGATAAGGGGAAGTTCAAAATCAAGTCGGCCATCCAGATTATGCAACATCATACCGATGTCTTAGATGAAGAATGTTGGGATGCGGTTTGGCATGCCCCTGTCCAACAGCGTATTAGAGCTTTCCTCTGGTTAGCTTGTCACGATAGGGTGCTTGGCAACTCAAATATGTTCAAGAGGCGCATGACTGACAACCCGAGGTGTTACATATGTGGTGTTGCTGATGAGAGTACCCTCCACATTATTAGGGACTGTGCGGCTGCTCGAGTTGTGTGGCGTAATGTGGTGGATGACTCAATTAGGGACAGATTCTATCATGGCAATTTGAAAGAGTGGATCACTGAGAATATAAAAGAAGACTCTTTGGAAGGAACGGAGTCTTGGGCAACCTTCTTTGGAATTGCGGTTTGGTGGATATGGAGATGGAGGAATTGCTATGTTTATAATAGACGCAATGAACTTCCCATTGATGCGGGAGCGTTTCTTCAAGTGAGGTATGAAGAGGCTAGACGGGCAATTTGGGATGCATTGGACGACAGCAATGCAAAGCCACGCTACAAGGTGCCAGTCAACATCACTTGGCATGCCCCCCCCCTATGGATGGTATGTGCTTAATTGTGACGGAGCTGCTAAGGGATGTCCTGGGCCAGCTGGGGGAGGGGGAATAATTCGATATTATGCTGGAAACATGGTGTCTGCTTTTGCAGCTAGCTTTGGGTACTGTTCTGCATTTCGAGCTGAAGTGTTGGCCTTTGTTCGAGGGCTAGAAATTGCTCGCAATCTTTAGATTGACAAGCTAGAAGTCCAAGTTGATAATCAGGCTTGTGTACACGCTTTGAACACGCAGCAAGTTGCTTATGGGGAGAATATCCATGACATCAGGCAATGTTTAGATCTCCTTAATGACAATCGATGGCAAGTGAAGTTGGTCCATGTGTTCCGGGAGGGCAATAGAGCGGCGGATTGGTTGGCCAACCGCGGAGTCATTCAAGACTCTCAACTTGAAAATTTTAATAATAACATTCCGGTGGAGCTTAGTCGTATTTTAGAGGAGGACATTCGAGGTGTGGCTATGCCACGACTAATCCCTCCTTAGTTAGTTTGCTTTGCTTGTGTTTTTTTATTTCGGTATTTTCTTTTTCTTTGGATGTAAGCATCTTCACTTGGATCAAAAAAAAAAATATATATATATATATGAGTTGTTATTATGGACATTCTAATGGGTTGGCCATATCAAATTGGCGTGGGCCTATTCATTTTGGACTGTCATAGACGTTTAACCCATACATATTCTTGAAATTTTGGTAGCCATTGTTATGCTACATGCATAAACATTAACCCATTAACCCATATTCAGAAAACACAGTCAGACTTTTAACATACATAACAACAGTGTTACAACACAGAAATTGCAATATAAATTGCAAACTCATAAGACAATACACACAGAATTTGCAATATAAATTGCAAACCAAAGCAATTCAGTCAGAATGATGAAAATGGGGTTATGAGTCTCAACGACTTGGTGAAAGTGGCTGACAAATGAAAGTTGTGTGATCCTAGGACATTCCACAGCACCAAAGCAGCTCCAACATCGATATTATTCTTGTGTATCTCTAATTCGGGCCGTAGTGTAATTCCTTGGTATCGGCTCGTTGGCTCATCTTCAATGAACTGATCCTGGATGATGGTAAAGTTAATGTTGGACATGGGTGCCTGCACCTGCAATGCACATTTTGTTAAATATCAAGCCCACTCCAATGTTTTGGTCAACAAATGAGTCTATTTTGCCCATGATTTGTTGTATTTTCGCAAAAGTATCAGCTCAACATAACTAAAATTGGAAAACATACACTATTGGGCAAAACTATGAATTCAGTCTGCCATATATTTTTAGACAAAACTATCCTTTTAAAAACTTAATTGTGACACTAAAAAGGGTAATTCTGAGTAAACATGGTAACGATATTTAAACAGCACGAGATATTACAATATAATTTATGGTAGAAAGTAATTATACAGAAGGAGAAGAATAAACCTGAATATATGCTTTAATTGTCGAATAAATTAAGATAGATTATTAGAATAATCATCAATTTCTTCTATTTGAGTAGACTACACTTGTGCATTAGATTTTGTCATATAAACTCCAGTAACTGGGTTACCAGCCTCATCAAGAACTGAAGTATGATTTTTGACACCACCTGAAGGAACCATATGGAGCATATACAGAGCACTGACAGGAGGAGTGAACTAGAAAGTAATTATGTGACTTTAGCGGCGGGAAGCTTGTGAAATGAAATGAAAATGAAGATTTCAAATTTTGGTAACAAAACTAGTTTGGATAGTTACAAATCTATTAGTGTCGGAATAATACTGATACCATGATGTTATTAGTATCAGATAAAAAATAATTAGGGGTTGTTAAACGTCGCTCCCCTTTTACTAGGCATCGCTCGCATTTTTTTTGGATTTTCCATTTTTACCCTTATCAAATAAATACTCACGACTCACTCCACGACACTCACAACTCTCATACTATCTATCTAAAAAAAATTAAGTAAAATCAAGGAAAAAAAATCCGCAACATTAATCACATTCAATTAGATATGTGTGAATGAATTTGACTATCATATTACTCAATTGATTCAATTAGCTATGTGTGAATAAATTCGTCTTTCATCTCATTCAATTGATTCAATTAGCTATGTGTGAACGAATTTGACTTACATCTCATTCAATTGATTCAATTAGCTATGTGTGAACGAATTTGACTTACATCTCATTCAATTGATTCAATTAGCTATGTGTGAATGAATTCGACTTTCATCTATTTCTATTGATTTAATTATCTATGTGAATAAATTCGTCTTTCATCTCATTCAATTAGCTATGTGTGAATGAATTTGACTTTCATCTCATTCAATTGATTCACTTAGCTATGTGTGAATGAATTCGACTTTCATCTATTTCTATTGATTTAATTATCTATGTGTGAATGAATTTGACTTTCATCTTACTCAATCGATTCAATTAGCATCTCATTCAATTAATTCAATTAGCTATGTGTGAGTGAATTTGACTTTCATCTTACTCAATCGATTCAATTAGTTATGTGTGAATGAATTTGACTTTCATCTCATTCAATTGATTCAATTAGCTATGTGTGAATGAATTTAACTTTCATTTATTTCAATTGATTCAATTAGCTATATGTGAATGAATTTGACTTTCATCTATTGCAATTGATTCAATCATCTCTCTGTAAATAAATTTGACTTTCATCTATTTCAATTGATTCAATTAGCTACGTGTGAATGAATTTGACTTTCATCTATTTCAATTGATTGAATTAGCTCTTTGTGAATGAATTTAACTTTCATCTATTTCAATTGATTCAATTACCTATGTGTGAATGAATTTTACTTTCATCTATTTCAAATTATTCGATTACCTATTTGTGAATGAATTTGACTTTCATCTATTTCAATTGATTCAATCACCTATGTTTTAGTATATTTCACTTTCATCTTAATAAAATGATTCGATTGGCTTTGTTGAATGCATTTAACTATTATATGAACTAATTGGATTTGTTGAATGCATTTAACTTTCACATGATTTAATAAAAATGCATTTGACTTTCATATGATCCATTTGGCTTTGTTGAATGCATTTGACTTTCACTTGATTTAATTACACTTATTGTTGATATGATTTGATCTAATTCAAACATCGGACTACCATACGATCTGATAAGCTTTATTAAAACCATTTGATTCAATTAGCATTGTTTCATGCTTCATGCATTCAACTTTCATTTGATTTAATTACTTAGTTTTCTTTGAATGATCGAATTTAACTTCCGTTTGGTTTCAATAACAATGCGAAACTGGTCCCACATAATATGGTTTATATAACCCAACTAATCTAAATTATATAATTCATTTAATTATTGTTATATGTTTATTAAATCTTTTTGTAAATGTGACATAGGTAGTTTTGCAAATTACAAAGGTTCCTTATCAAAATCAATGCAAAAACTGACGTTTGTTCCTTTTATGATAATGAAAAGTTTGATTATGAAAATTACGTTTTGAAATCTAAATTTGAGTGTTGCTTTGGTTTTAAGACTATAACCAATTTTCTTTTCTTACTTTTCTTAATAATTCATTTAGTAATATGATTTCATTAAGAGGGAAAAATCCCGCCCAAATACCCATTATTGTTACGGGTCAACTCAATTGTACCATCAAGTACAATTATTGTCGTTCAATACACATCACTACCACTTCCAACCTTATAAACCAAATTTTTTACATTTTATACCAACAAACGATAAATTTTATCAAGATTCATTTCATACCAAAAAAGTTGTTATGGAGACTATAAGATCAGCAAGACAATCAAATTCTGCTTTTTTAACAAAATTGGGGTGGAGGGTGTTGAAAGAGCCAGACTCACTGTGGTGAAGGGTGCTGCGATTTAAATACTGCAAGGGCCGTTGTGACATAGATATGTTTGCCCCTACCTCTAACATGTCAAATGTGTGGAGGGGAATCACGGACAATGCTAAGTGGATTAGCAAAGGGTCGGCTGTAGCAATATGCAATGGGAAGAGGACTCTTTTCTGGGATCATTGCTGGGCAACTTTGAAGCCCCTCAGAGACTTGGCTATAGCTCCCATACCTGACAGTATTGATGGGGCTATTGTTGAAGAAATGTGGACAGTTGGGGAAGGCTGGAATTGGGATCTGTTTGCTAATTTCTTACCTCAAAATTCCCTTCACCAGATTGCAGCGCACAAAGTCATTGAAAATCCAGAAATTGAAGATTCAAGGTACTGGAAAGGGTCGAAATCTGGAGCATTTTCTGTCAAACAAGCAATGAAAATTATGAAGAATGATGAATACATTTTGAAGGATCCCAAATGGGATTTAGCCTGGTCTGCTCAGGTTCAGCAAAGGGTCAGGGTTTTTTTATGGTTAATTCTTCATGACAGAGTCTTGTGTAATGCAAATAGAGTCAAAAGACATCTATCAGATGAACCTCGCTGCAATCGCTGCAATACAGATGCAGAGGAAACTCTTATCCATATGTTGCGTGACTGTCCAAGGGCAAAAGAATTATGGTTGTCTGTTGGTGGGGCTGCTTTCTACCCATCTTTCTACACTGGTGATCTGTCATCTTGGATGACATCAAATCTCAAAGCTGAGGGGATTATTCATTCTGAAAAATGGCCAGTTGTATTTGCTCTAACGCTATGGTGGGCTTGGAAATGGCGCAATTGTGAGATCTTTGGACGTGATTCGGATATTCCCTTGAACAAAGGCAATTTTATCAAAGGCAAGGCTGATGAAACGTGGAGTGTCAAGATGGGTGATGGCATTGCTGCTCTGTTTAATCGCCCTGTGATGAAGCAGCAGGTACTGATTCGAGGGCAAGCACCACCTGCTGGGTGGTTTACTTTGAACACAGATGGTGCTGCTCATGGCTCACCTGGGCTTGCTGGTGGTGGTGGGGTGCTTAGGGACTGTCAAGGCAGAGTGATCAAGGGATTCATGGCAAATTTTGGTATATGTACAGCATACAGGGCTGAACTTATGGCAATTAAGATTGGGCTGCAGATGGCAAGCAATTTGGGTGTAAGCAACATAGAAGCTCAGATGGATAACAAGGCCTGCATAGAAGCTATTCAGAATGACCAGATCCTTGGAGGTGAAGGCGTGCATATGCTCCGCAATTGTCGTAATATCATTCGTTCTTTTGGTTGTAATTTTCGTATTTTTCATTGCTTTCGTGAGGGGAATAAAGTAGCTGATAGACTAGCTAATTTAGGGGTGTTTCAAGCTGATAAGTGCCTTTATTTCGAGGTCCCTCCTATTGAGATAAAGGAACTTGTTAGGGAGGACATGTTAGGGGTTACTACTCCTCGCTTTATTGCTTAGTTTCTTTTGTTTTGCTTGGGCTTTGCCCCCTTTTGCACCAAAAAAAAACTTTGTTATGTTGCTGGTATTTCATAAAAGATTGACAAAATAATACTAGACTTCACAATTTCCGAGGTATTGTACTACAAAAGTGGGTGAAAATGTGACATTGTACTGCAAAAGTGGATGACAAAAGGCAAGGCAAAACTTTCTTATTTCTTTCTTTTGGGGTCTCGTGACTTTTTTATTTTTACAATTTCATTTTCCTTTTCTATTTTACATCTTTTTTTTTTATTTATAGATTAGTCCCCCTACTAGACAGTGGTAGATGTAGAATATTTAGTGTGGAGGGGCACTAAATTAAAAATGCTTGTATAAGGGCTTGAACCTAAGATTTTTAGTCCAAACTCAATGCATTACCACTATGACAAAACTAATTTAATGATATTTATTGCATTAAAATTGTATTTAACTTATAACTTTACACATTTACTAAAATAAATAAAAATTTGGGAGGGCTGGTGCCACTCAGGTCCCTACATAGATCCCAATGCTACTAGAGACATTATTGTATCTAGTTGCTAGATGCTAAGAAGCTCACATTCCTTCTTGAAGTCTTAGAAGATACAATCTCATTAAATGAGTCAGGGAAAAGATAAAAAAAAGGAGGGACTAGTAGGCTACTAAACAGCTATATGCATGCAGCTACATATTTGCAAACCATAAAGTTTAGCTTATAATGTTAAAATGTGGGTGTAGATCCATAATTTGGGGGATTTTGTGATATTTCATATTTGGACTATCTGAAATGAGTCACATTCACCATGTACCATGAGGACTACTCAAAATCATTTATTACCAATGGTTATTACCCAAACGAAGTTGCACACAAATAGCTATTACGTACAGTGAAAAGATTTTTGGAGAATTCCCATATTTGTGCAAGTTGACTTGGTCCAAATGTTCTCAAGGAGGAGTATATCAATTTCTAAATTTAAATACGTAGTACTTAACTACTACGTATTATAATCATTGTTGAAAATATTTATATAATTATTATGATAAAAATGTGGAACGACTATTTTTAACATTTTATTGTATTTATTTTATTAATTAGAGTACAAATGTGATAAATGTAACCCAATTTTAATAAATATTATTTGATATTTAAGAGTTTGAGTTTATTGTATTTATTTTATTATGATAAAAAGTTGGAGCGACTATTTTTAAGAGTTTATTGTATTTATTTTATTTATTTAGTAGAGAAAAATGAGTACAAGACAAGTCCAATGCGTTCTTGCCAATATTAATTTTATTTAAGCAAGCTAAATTCCAAATATAGCTCAGTCACGAAAGCAATTTAAACGTGTACGTACTCTGTATAATTGGTTCCCCAAAGAAAGACAACATTAAATCGTTAGAGGATGAGGATGTAAAAAAGCACTTCTGGATGGCTCACGAGCTTAAATGGTTTGGATATACCATGCCAAATAGGAAGGTTAACGAGAAAGTGTAGTTACCCCTTTAGTACTTATTTTGGGTTCTCAATATGCACAGTCCAAAAACAAATATGCTTCTACTAAACAAGCTTAACTATCAGTCATCTATGCACATAAAAAAGGGAGCATCAACTTACAAATTTTGAACGTGCTTATTAAAAAAAAAAAAAAAAAAAAAAAAAAAAAAAAAAGCCTTAGAAACTTATGATCAAGGGTATCAAATATTCAACCCAATAACATCATAATCAACATCACTATTTATTATCAAACCAATGATTCTGTACTCCATACATTGTAGTACGCCATTCTTCACGACCTAGTGTGGCTTTTTCTACACTAAGCTTCTGCAACCTACATTCCTGCTTCATAAGCTATGTTTCTCCACCTGAATTGTAGTTTATGTTTAAAAGGTGTAGGATGGTAACAAAAGTAACTAACCTGACGCTTCTGATTTTCAACCAATGATTTGTGCCTTGTACCCTTTGGCCTTCCTCGACGCTTTTTCTTAATAAGAGGGTCTTTGATAATAGGATCCATTGCAGTTGGGCATATTTCTGTAGGCTCTGACATAGGGTTCCGGACTGATGAGTTAGTGAGAGTGAACTAAGCACAGGTTTATCTTCTTCACGCTTCTTGTCCCTACACTTATTCACAGCTATTTGGAGTTTTGATAGTGCCTCAATCACCATTTGAACGGTTTGATCGTTTACCTTACAAGCAGTTTCGCACAACGGCTCAAATTTTCCCATCATCTTGTCAAACCTCTTGACGTGCTCCGTGTCTCCGGGATCATGGTATGCCACCTTTACCCTAGTATGCTTCCGGGGTATGTCCTTCCTCCATCGGGATACTATGTACTTATCAGGGAGAACCTCCACCAAGTTCTCATCAAGAACCCTAATGGTGTGTTTGCAAAGAATGTCGTGTGTTTCAAACTTTCTACAATCACATTGAACCTCTTTTGTCAATGGAAAATACAACACTTTGTAGATTCTTCGGCGATTTGTAATAACCTCCTCACTTGCCCCTGGAGGTACAATCCAAACACGATCCACCAGCCAATATTGTGTAAGGTTTTCAGACAAAACCCTCTCCTCTCGAACACTGCAGTACATCATCCTTGAACACTCTGTTTGAATTTCTTGAAACTTGTTGTCGGTGTATATCTTTTGGAATTTTTTTTCAACTTTGAACCCACTGACTAACCTCCTCAAGTACTTCGAGCAACGGTCATCTGCACTGATCTCATCTTTAACACGTTTGTCCAACGCCATGGTATACTGTCTAGGGAACTCATGTAGTTTGGTTTTCTGGTTAACGAATCCATCAAAAAACCGATTGATGCTCTCTACCCTTTGCGTGGTCTTCATACCATCCCAAAAATACTCCTTCATGTACGCAGGCACCCATGTGACTCTCCTTGTGAAGGCTTTCAAGCCATTCATTACCCTCCAAATTATACTCAGATATAAGTGCTGCCCATCTCTCGTGGAACTCTTCAGGGGTAAAACTTTCATAAACAACCTCTTTCAGAGGGTTGAGGAATTCTTCGTAACTAGACACAAAATTCAGAACACAAAATTCAGACAACACAAATTCAACATAAGGGGGTGCTATTGTCTAATAAAAGACAAGACAGAATCAACCTGACTATAACAGACAACCAATTACCCAATTTAAAGAACAAAATGGCAGCAACACAGTCCCCTATCAACCAATTTAACGTACAAAATGGCAGCCACACATTGACCAATCAACCAATTCAAAGAGCTTAAATGGCACCCACACAGTCACCAATCAACAAATTATAAGATCCGTTAAAAGGCAATCAACCAATAGGGAATAATAGGAAAAAATTAATTTTTACCAGGGATGGCATAAACTGTTAAAAGGCATCACATCATGGGGGTGCAACATAGATCATGGGGAGGATCAAAGGGAGAAGGAACACATATTGGGAACAAGAACAAAATTGAAGCAATATCAGACTAAACCTGACAGACAACGGACAACCAATTCGTAGAACAAAACGGGAACCACACAGTGAAAGAGGGTTCGGAAACACTAACCGTGCACACTTGCCAAGTTTATCAGGAATCTTGCTCATTATATGCCATATGCACCAACGATGAATGGTGTCTGGCATGACTTCAGCTAGGGGCTTCCGCATGGCTGTCGCTTGGTCCGTCAAAATGGCATTCGGAGCTCGGTTGTTCATGCATGCTAGCCACTGTCGAAATATCCATGAAAATGTGTCACAATCTTCATGTGATACAAGAGCACACCCCAACAACAACGATTGGCCATGGTGGTTCACACCAACAAAGTTAGCAAATGGAAGCTCGTATTGATTGGTTAGATAGGTAGCGTCAAAACAAACCACCTCACCAAAGTCCTCATACGCTACCCTACTCCTTACGTCCACCCACAACACGTCTTTAAGTCTCCCATCTTCATCCAAGCGTTGGGCATGGAAGAAGTTTTGGTTGCCGGTTTGCATTTTTTCAAAATACTCCATCATTGCAACCGCGTCACCGCCGACCATCTTCAATTGCTTAGCCTTATACACCTCATGTTGTAAATCTTTTACTGTGAACGGCATGTTGCCACCTTTTCGCTCGGTCGCCATACACCCATGAATTTGAGATATCGGTACACCTTGTTCATAGTAATCCATCAATTTCTTTTTCACTTTCGAGGTAATGTGCTTTACACGGTACTCCTTCACAAGCTTTGCTTGTGATGGATCTACCAAGTGATTATGCTCCAAATGCACCCTCTTTAACACCCATCCATCCTTAGTTACTCTAGCATAAATCCGGGCCTCACATTCACACTTTTTGGAAGTCCTCTTTGCCCTACTTAACTCATCCTCACATACAATTCCTTCAACTAATCCACCAGAACCATCAACCCCCATTGCTTTTGCCCTTTTCTTCGCTTCCCTCCTAGCCCGCATGTCGGGTTTTCCCCAGCACTCACACTTCCATGTGGTTGCTATTCTTTCAGTCTTGTCCAAAGAATTTACAGCCTGAACCCTTGTCACTCCAAACCCGAACTGCTCAGCATACTCCTTATAGTAGGCTTCCACTTCTTGCCAAGATCGAAATACCATCCCAACCTTAGGCTCCTCAACAGCCACTACAGTCATTTGGTTGCTACCAACAACCGTGTGTGTCGTGTGAACTGTTTTCATGGGGGATAAATACATCACATGGCCACTGGCGTCAGTGTTAACACACACATCATCTTCGAACTCTATTTCTTTTATGCCATCCCCATCCTCCACATCGACACTACTCCTAAACTTAACTCCGCTGCCCTGATCAACAACAACAACATCCTCACTTCTCCTTAGCAATTCTATTTCCATGTCCTCTAAAAAATCGGTCATTACACCCTGTTTCCACCAAACCATTTTTCAGAAACAACACTTGAACAGAATATTCATCACATAATTCACCACATTTGACAAGCAGTGTCACAATAACACAACCAACTAAGATTAGTCTCAAAAATAAATCAACCCATTATTAAAAAAAAAAAACCAATTTACACAAATTATTAAAGAACCAATAGTCCATATATACTCCACCAACACTAATATTAAGCAAAACAACAACAACAAATTGACTTAACATAATCCTCCTCAGTTGAATCCATAAACAGAATTAGCAAAATCAACAACAAATAATTAACATAATCACCTATCCTTAGCACAAACCACAATTGATAATATTTAATAGTTTGACTCAAATGCCTTGTGAGAACAAATTTTGTTTCACGTGGAGGTATTTTTTTGAATAAATCAACAACTTTTTCATTATTGGAGTTCTACAGTTTCCCATAAAGGAGGGTGCCCTAGAATCTTATGGCGAGAAACAAATTTTATTTCTCACATGACATTTTTGTAAATAAATCAACAACTTCATTCAAATGTGGAGCTCACAATAATGAAAAAGTTGTTGATTAATTCACGAAAATACCCCCATGAGAAACAAATTTCATTTCTCACCATGAGAAACAAGGATTTTCCATAAAGTTGTTGATTTATTTACGAAAAATGCAATGTGAGACACAAATTTGATTTCTAACTATGAGAAACTGGGGCATTCGCTCAAACAATTGATAATGGAAATTTGTCAAAATACACTTACCTTTGCTCCTTGCAAGAATCGCTACGTGGACTATTGATTCCGCGCCCTTTAGGTTATTTTGAAGCTGTGTATTGCCTTCAAGTCCTTGGATCATATTGCTGATCAATTTATCCTCACTCGTACTCCAATATTTTATAGCGAGAAACAAAGGACAGATATTGTCCTTGTTTAAGCAATATGCTGCTTGTGAACACTTTTCATACAAGTATTTGGCAAGTTTCCTATGGTTATACAGCACCGTACCGCAACATGCAATGCTGTGTTTCCATCAATATTCGGCCTTATACATATACGATCTGAAGGGATAGATGGCGACCATTGAAAAAGACCTTTAAGGGACTGGAAATTACCAACCTTAACAGCTGAATGAATCGGAAGGTCACCTTTCTTGTTGGCTTGGTACATGAGAGTAGTACAACCATGTCCTTGAAGGAGATCGTGAATTAGTTGGGTACTATCCATACAAGCTGCAATATGAAGAACATTTTCCCCCTCATCAGGGGTTAGAAGGTCCTTAAGTTGAACTGTTGAAGCCTTCTAACTGATTCAAAAACTCGATTTATCTCTCGTTTAGCCAAGTGTAGATGCAAATTACCATTGATAGGAAACAACTTTATATCATTTGTAGCTTTATCTAGCATCAAATTTAGCTTCATAACCACTCTTTTGCTTGTATCATCTACAAACGTTAATTCTTTTGCCAAATCATTTGCCATTAACCCTACTTCCTTGTTCAGTAATCCAACATTGACCCCTTCATTTTGGATAAGAAGTTCAACCACTTCAACATGCTTGGAAAGAGTAGCCAAATGCAAAGGAGTGTTACCATCATCGTCGTTTTGATTGAGTAAAGGGTCTACATCTGATAAACTAAGCACATAAGAGACCAATTTTGAGTCACCTATTAATATTGCCAAATGTAGAATATTTTGGCCTCTTCCATTAAGCAGAAATCTTGAGCTACTTAGTAGCCCTATGATACTAATATGACCTCCATGTACCGCCTGGTGAATTGGAAAGGATTTGTCTTTGTTGCATATAAAGGTGCTATTAGGGACTTTCATGTCAAAAATCTGAACCTTTTCTAGATAACCTTTAAAAGTTGCATAAGATAGAGGTGTCAACCCTTCTTCATTCACTAAATTGATAAGCTTTCCATCATCATAGAGAAGTAGGTGCTCCAACATTTCTGCAATTGTTGTAAATTTTAAATATATATCCAGTTATGTAATGTTTCACACAATATTAGACTAAGTGATAATTTTTGTTTAAATCCAAATGAAAAACGGCTTTTAACATATTTTTACAAAAATAAAAAAGAATACTACATGCTTCTCCTTGACTACACTTGTTCTAGGTACCATTATTTTGAAATGGTTTTGATGGGAGATTGGGAATTAATTTTTCTACATATTACGAAATTTTTAGGAGTTCAACTTATATAGTCAAATAGCAAATAAACAATTATACACATGGTAGCATGCATTAGATTACGGAAAATGGAGGAGTGGTATAGAAGAGGATGATCAATGGTGGAATTTCAAAATTAACAAAATTTTTGTAGTCATTGCAAAAGTGTCCTTAACTTCGTAGGCATACCTGTCTTTTGGGCGGATACAACAGCATGTAATACCGACTGGCCTTTTGTCAAACAATTGAGTGCATCTTGTCTGAATGGCTGCAATTTTTGTAGCATGTGTTGTACAAGATCAGCAAGCTCTTTCACGACGGCCAAATACAAAGGACAAATTCCCTCAATATTCATGGCATACGCCGCAGGAGGATACAAGTCAACCAACTCCCTTGCCTGCTTGACTTCTTCATCATCATACACTTCCAAGGCAGTGTGAAGGGCGGTGTTCCCTTCAACATCGCTCCACTCTAATACCTGATGAACTACAACGTCGATGCCTGATGCCTTCTGTTGCTGTAACCAGCTCGCGAGGGCATCAACAACAGCAACGTTCATTCTACCAGTCTTGATTGCCGTGTGAATGGGGAGATCACCTTGAGAATTCCCCTGCACCATTAATTCTGGCCATTGTATAAGAATGTCATTCACCAACTCTACTTCACCGGAGCTACAAGCAATGTGAAGAACAGTGTTGTTGTCACGTGCACACCGAAGCTCAAGAACATCAACTTGACTACTCGATACGACTCTGTTGAACCCAATAACATCCCCGGTGACTAGCAGTTGGTAAAGCTCGGTGTCAATAAGAGTATTACCATCACTGCCTCCATAATTTGACATGGGTGAAATTTGGATCGATTAACAGGTTTTTTTTTTTTTTTTTTTGGGGGGGAATTGTATGTACAATATACTGATTACACTTAAGCTCAAATATATCAATGTCTTAAATCTTGACTAAGAAAGTCGTTGGGACCATGTAAGAGATAATGCATTTGCCTCCCTACAATTTAGATAGAAAAGGTATTAAAAGACAATGCTAGAAACACCCTCGCCCATCCCAAACCCTTATCATTTGTTTTTGGACATACCAGGTACGGACTACGGAGACACGGAGTATTTAATACCACATACTACCTCCGTTATAGGTTATGTGTAATGATTTGACATAAAACAGAGAGGAAAAATGTCTAATTATTACACATAACCTATAACGGAGGTAGTATTTTAAACATTGACTTGAATTAATTTTCTTTAGGAAATTTTGCTAAAAATCATCATAAAATTTGTTTAAATCAATCTTATAATTTTTTTTTATTTTTGTTTTTTGTCAAAACACACCTATTTTAAATTTTTTTGTAAAGTCCCCCTACTTCCCGGATACCAACCTTTGACTGCAATTCCTTGCGTTGAGTTGCACGTGCAAGTCACGTGACACACTAAACTCAGCTCCCCCCCTCCCCTTTCTTTCCTGTTCCCAGTTCTGCTGTAACTAACTTGTCAGGGAATCAACGGCAATGGTAAAAATGTCATGGACAAACTCTAACTTTCAAGAGCTAGAACCGATGTGAAGAACAGCATTCTTGTTCCTAGCAGTAGCAGTCGACTCGCCTACTCTGCATGACTAGTAGCTTGACAGTTCGGCATCAATAAGAGCATTACCATCACTAACAGCTGATTACTGGTATCCAAGGACCCATTTGTATGTATGAAACAAGATTCCATTTGTATTAGAATTAGAATCTAAAAGTATTCAAACATGAACAACAAAAAGAAATACAGAGCGTAGTTTTTGGAAGAATCATAATATGACAATAAGAAGTTTGAAAAATAAATACAAGAGTTGGAATAGACATACAACTACACAATTACAAGTTGGCGGAGGTTAAAAAAGACATCAGCAAAAGAGGATTGGATGTACAAGAATACAAGAAACGCTGCACATAAATCAAACATCAGTAATCAAATATCAACCAATGCATTATGTTAAGTGTTAACATCATCGGAAATTATCAAATCCTGCCATCTTAGTTAAGTTAGCAGTGGATAGCTCATTCAGAGGTGCTCGCAACGCTGTCAGCCATCTTTGTACACTGTTTTGTCTCCTGTTCTGAGCCCTCTGCAATTCAAAATATCAAGGCTAACGATATGCAGGACTGATATAATGCCTTAAACGAGAAATGAAAGCATTGAACACGCAACTATATGTTTTTATGAAGTCTTTATCTTTCATCATATCATGTGCTACTCGTGCTGGACTGGATGTCCTACAGACTTATCTTTGGAAGACAGAAATTTTTTTTGATTTGGTTAGTAAATGGCTAAATATCAACTTAGGTCACTTAACTTGCTCCTCTTTTTTGGTATGAATGAGTAAAGAAAGTGTGATTCTGGCTTGTGTTTCTAGTATAAATATCTACTCCTCAGTCTTTGTATTGCTAGGCAAATGCATGTGCTAAAAAAATGCAAAGCATGTATGTAAATATATTGTATAAAATCTGATCTGAAATGTTAAGTTCAAATAAATTTATGAGATCCAACAAGCTCAAATTAGTGTTTAGGTAAAAAGAACGAAGTCTCAAGCAATACAGAACTAGAGACAGAAAGACTCCACCTGTCAATTGATCATAGCGAGATACAATGTGCTTTGCATAGGGGACTTTTTTCAAAACAGGAAGATGTAATCGTATACAATTCTGCAATGTCTCCTTTTGCTTCTCAGAGCCAATCTCGAAAATCTTCTGAACCACATAATTTGCAAATTGGTCTTTCATCATCATCTGAATAAAACAGTTCAAAAAAAGATGAGGAACCAAAGGGAGGCAATATTGCCATAATAAAACATCCAAAGAAACCCTGATTAATTCAGATTACTGTAATCCACAAGAAATTACTCGAGCACTTAACAAAGCGCTTGGACTCTATAACCACACCAAAAGCACAATATTTACAAATTTGGTGTATTACACATACGAAGTTAAATTTGTCACACAGGGAGCAAAAATCTCACAGTACTAGACCAATTCTCTGCATCAGGTGTCAGCTTTCAGAGTTATGAACATATATCTCGCAAACTTACCAATAGTGCCTCATTGTTGTCAGACTGTGCAATGATTTCCTCAATTATGAGATTTCTCTCTGAATCGCTGCCAAATTTTATGCATTTTTCAGCAACATTGGACGCGAACTTATGCTGACTCAACTGTACAAATCGACCAGTCAACTTATGTATAATTTGGCTTCTTTGATGGGGCTTTCCCATTTCCATAACATGCTGCAAGGGAGTCAAAGTTGATCAAATTTATAAAATTGCAGGATATTATTGAAGAGTAATATTATAAAGCTTACAAGCTTCTCCAAAGGAACTTTAATAGCGGTAACTGTCAGTACCTGAGTGACATAGTTGCCATACGGGTCATGAGCAAGGGTCGAAGTAGATTTAAGGACTTCATCAACCATCCACTGACTTATCTGCTCATCTGAGCAATGCTCCAGAACTCTCTACACAAATAATAAAAATAAATACCTTATATGGAATTTCAACATAACATCCATACAGCTGAAATTCAAAGATACCTGGATGACACGACAACCATATGGGTGACATGAAAGTGTTGCAACTTGACCAATAAATGAAGAAATGATGAATTTGATTTTCTCAGTTGGGACGAATTCAATACATTTCTGTATCACATGGTTTCCATTTTGGTCATGCACACATTTCATAACATGCCCATCAAGCTCCTTCATAAGCTCCACTTTCTGATCAAGCTCGATTACTTCCAGTGCCTACAGAAAATTTTCAGGGGGAAAATGGTTTTAAAGGGACAACAGTAAAATAATATTGGTTAACAAAAATGCCCTTTAACTAAGATTTCCTGCATGGCCATTGTCTTATATTTTATTTATTTACTTTCATCCTCTGCCTGGCTTCTTCTTAATTTTTAACTTGTACATTTATGAACGAAAAGGAAAAGAAAGGTGCATATGAAACATGCATATAAGATAAGAAAGGCTCTAGAACTCCTTGTATAACAAATGACACTTTCACTCATGGTAGAGACAATATAGAAGAACAAAGTTTTAACTTCCTTCTACATTTGTAGAAAACAGAAATTATAATCATTCTCTGAACTTAAAACTTCATATAGATGAGCACACAATAAAAAAAAAAAAAAATTAAAAATTGATTAATTTACCTTTTGGATCACACGACAGCCATACATTTGCAAACTTAAGGTCAAAACCTGTCCAGTAAGTTGCTGGCCAAGCTTTCTCCTCTGCTCAACAGTTCCATGCTCGAAAAACTGTATTAAAATGAAACACAATTCAGAAGTTTAAGAAATCCAACCACAATTTATTAAACATGCAAAGACTTATTTGAAGACATAGAGGTGTTAAAAGTTCACCTTTTGAACAACATAATTTCCAAATACATCAGTCATTAATTTAGCAACTTGTGGAAGAACTTCTTTAAAGACAGATTCCTTCTCATCACTGCCACAGCTTTCTAGCTTTTGTTGAATAAAACGACTACCATGTTGATCAGTGCTGCAGGTTAATAGCCAGCCATGTCAATTAAATGGAGACCTAATTGTGCCAAAAACAAGGAAGCATATGAAAAGATGTTCTAAAAGCCTACCTAAACTCGACAATCTGGCCAGAAATTTCAGACAATTCAAGAATCCTAGAGCTGTTGGATTTAAGCAATTCAAGAAAAGAAGGCCGTTTAGCATTATTATCAATACTGTTTCTATCAGAACTCTCAGGTCCACCTTGTCTTTTCCATCCAGGATATGCAGCTGTACTTTTTGATGACTGTTGTGAAACACTCACATCATTTCCTAGCCCGTGTTGAATAATCCTAGGTACAGAAGATCCTGGTAATGTAGGAGGCACTTGAAATTGTGGTTCTCCTAAGCTTGGAGGATATCCATAAGAGTTGAATCTAAGCTGAGTCCCAGTTATTAGAGGAAATAAGCTCGGTATGTTTATTGCAGGATGATTTAGTCCCCTGCCACCTATTGAAGATGCACTTGCAACAGTGTCTCTTTGTGATGCAAGTGCATCAATCTGACTCTGAACAGCACTTTTATGAGCATTCTCATAGAGTTGTTGAAAGCTTTGTCCTTGAGCAGGACCACCAAAAGAAGGCCGTAGCACTTGACTTGCATATGGGTTCATTTCGCCAAGTAAAGCCTCCACTGATTGCTTAAAGAAGCCAGGCTTCCCATATGTATCAATTGGCATTGGAAATGCATTGCCCTGAACATAACTGCCAAAATGAGGAGGTAAAGTAGTGTTAGCACTTAATCCACTCAGAGCAAGTGGTGGACTAGGGAATCCTGGCTGTGGTACACTTGGGTAAAAAAGGTTTCCTGAATTCATATGGGCAGCTGTTGATGCATATAATGGTGGTACCAGTCCTGTGTTATGCATGAATGCCTGATGCAGTGGTAGTGGCTTCTGATGAGCAGCATACATTCCTCGGGGAACAGCGTAAGCTTGGAATCCAGATATCTGGTATGGTGCGCCTTGTGAAGGATGAGGATGAAGCTTATTCTCATCAAGCAAATGGAGATAGTCAAGTCTCTTTTGGTCTTCCTCTCTCATTATTTCGCCTGAAACATCCAACAATTTCATTCTTGACTCTACTACAGAAACTTCAGACCCAATATTACTTTGGATAGACACATTATCCTCTAAATCAGCAGTTCTGCAGTAAGAAACAGTTGATACAGAGGGATTGATAGAAGAGCTCATGGTACTATGCTCATCATCAGTGTTTGAAACTCTGACATTGTCATGATCACTTCCTTCTTTAATAGTTGTACTAGATGCAGAAGATGGAGCCTGAACAAAGTCTCCCTAAACCACAAGAAAAGAGAAAAACCATGAGTACTATATGAAATTTGACACTAAAGCTACTAGGTAATACTCTGTATCAGAAATACAAAAGCTCCTCAAAACCTATTTACAAGAAATAGATATTCCACACAATGATCCTAACTGATGCGTTCATATATGCAAAATTATAAACAGTGACTTCAATCAGAGACTTTAGTATGGCCAAGTTACAAGTTACAAACCTCCTTTAGATCACCACTGCTTCCATTATGGCCAACTTCTGATGTCATCTTTGTACCATCCACAAAATTCCCCTGATCACCAGATATTTCGTGTGGTGAATTTGCTTCCTCAGGCTCCTCCTTGTGAGCTGCCAGAAAACCTTCCCTTGCAGAAACTTTTTTACCAACAAAACTTTCCATATGTTGCACCAGACGACGATTCTCTCGTGATATTAGAGGAGGAGGTAGCCTCGGGTTTAAGTTAACATTAGCATAGTAATATTGAATGTATGCTGGATCAGTTCGCATTTGTTCTTCAGGCTCACAGTCCAAAAACTCGTTGCTAGAGCTGGTCAAACTCGAATTTTGTTGATCCATAAAAGCCTGAAAGCCAACAATTGAACCCTCAATAGTAGGTGGAGCACTACCACTTCTACTAGGCATCATGCGAGTTTGTTCTTTGCGAACAATAGTCTCTTGTAAAACTTTACCTACGCCTTCATGACCAGCAACATTACTGAAAGGTGAAGAAAACAATCCAGAACCAGTAGCAGGTAGCCACTTTTTGGACTCATCACTGTCTAACATCCTGATTGGACTCTCAGTTGTCATCCTTCCTTGAGTTAAAGGTCAGCTTCTTCACCCTCAGAGACTCTAGTTTCAACGCTGCAGCCGGTAACCCTTTATAGCACACGGTCTGTTAATCACAAATAGTTAACATACAGCTTGTTAGATATATATCAACCCCATATTCCAAGAATGATTAGTAGCCTATGGATGACATACAGAATGTGGTAGTCAGTAGCCTAACATTCAAGAGCAAAACAATATGGCAACTGAAGAAGACAAATGTACAGCTTAAGAAAACAGAATGATTGTTGACTGGTGCGAATTCAGAAAACGAGGACTAATTACAAGCAGATTCTTTTCAAATTATACATGAAAATGGAACAAAATACTTGTATCAAGTATACAGATGTGTTGTAGAAACCCGAGCACCCGACATGAAGAGGTCAATCAGCTTCCAAGAACAACACCCTCCATCTCAAAATAGATGTCCCAATTGATTAAAACACACTGAAAGTAACATTTCATTTGCTTTATTGTAAATCAAGGTTCTTAATTTTGTCACCCCTCTCCTCTCTCAAGCTTTTGGATTAAAACTTAAAGAGTTACTTTCTCCCATTCTAAATTAATTGTCTTACTTGTCATTGCTTCAAAATTACACACCACCTTTGACATTATAAATTTTAAGTAATAAAGTATACAATGCACCCCCCCCCCCCCCCAATTATAAGGCATGCTCCCAATTAGTCAAATACCTCCTTGAGCTATCTTCTATCTATAGTTCTACAGGGGATATAAAATGTTAAGTCCTTAATTCCATTAAGGATTATATCATGCTCCGAGGTGCACCTAATTATATACATTGTTGAATTTCAAACCTAAGTCTAAAGAAATAAACCCGCCCCCACCCCTACCCCGGCCCCCCAAGACTTTACCCGCTAAGGTTGCTAAAATGTTACAATCATTTTACAATTCCAGCATCATAAGTATTTACAAAGCTCACCATACACATACTGACATACACCAGTAAGATTCCAACATCAGTAAATAAACAAAATACTAGTAATACAAATGGCCAACAATAAGTAAAAAACACAGATTTATATCCAAAAAAAAAAAACTTTCATAACCAAGCAAAATTAAGCCTTTTCCCAAAAAATAAAAAAAATAAAAAAAATTAAGCAAGTTTATCGTACTTTTGGCTGAGAAATTTCCAAAAAAAAAAAAAAATAATTCATGAAATTGCATAATTATGAGAAATGACAATAATTAGCAAACGATCATTGTCAACCCCAAAAAGTAAAGTTAAAGTAAACCCAAAAAAAAAGGTTGACAAAAAAACTTAACTTCCCACCAAAAAGAGCAGAAAGTAAAATCCCTTTAAAAAGAGCAGTCAAAATCCCAACTTTCTGGAAAATTATGATCAGAATTTGAAATAGAAGAAGGAGAAGAACAAGGAAATGAATGAACCCTTTTGATCAAATAATATCCAAACTATAGAATATGAATAAATTTGCTGGTTGGTGCAAGAACATAAATTAAAAATTAATTTAAAGAAGCAAGAAATATAAATATAATATGGAGTAACTTATAATATTGAAATAGTAGCATTAGTACTTAATTATTCATGAATTCTCACACGTCACGAAATAGGATTGTTGCCATTAACATTGAAAAAAACAAAGAAAATGAAAGGTTTCAAAATGTCAACATACTGCAAAGCTCCCTCATGTTGAACTGACCCGACTAAGTCCATGCTGTGTACATTTTAGACCTCTTGGGCCTTGGTTGTCACTTGTGACTACTGACTAGAATTAAACTAGTACTCTGTATTTTGTATCCCTTCATCCCTGGCTCTTTTACTCGAGTCGAGTTTGATTTTTCTATTACGGAGTACTCCTTTAGTCCCTCTGTTTCTCAACACAATGTTTTAAAGAAAATTGTAAATACAAAAGAAAATAGCGGGTATATAAAAGTTTTAAATTTGGACAAATATTTATAGTGATACGTAAAGGTGACAATCGAGTAATACTCCCTCTGACCCTTATTTTTACACCATTTGACCCAAAAAATTAAGTCCATGGTGCAAAAAAAGGGACGGAGGGATATGATGTTATAGCTATGATTATGACACATTAATTATCGAGTCAATTCGTAATTAATTAGATCAGTTAAATTCTAGTCAAGCGGATACTCCATTGTAACTTGAAATTCAAAATTTCAGACTTCCATGAAAATAGATTTCATGTAATTTCATCTTGAATTGTCATGTATAGAAACGACAGGATGCTTCAAAAAATAACCTTTGGTTAGCTTGAAGTCTTGAACCATGCTATGATATCAAAATAATCTATTCCTATTTACTTAAAATCAATTTGAAATTAAAAAATTAAAACATATACAAAGACTTGAGACCTCTAATTCCTCCAAAATGCAACTGAAGAACCTGTCAATACTTTCAGGAGTGAAGAGACCATAACCATTGATTTAAAAATTACTAGTAGCAGATCACCAAATATTCATGCCCAGCTACATAATTAGTCAAGGGTAGCATAAACTAACGGCTTTTCAAACATATGATAAGTCAGAAGCCAATGTTTTTAAGCCATTAAACTCACATACACCCCAGTATTAATCAGCATCACAATGACGGTAGAACATAGGAGGGACTACTAACTAAGTGCAGCATACGACAAAATCTCCACCGCATCTGTGCCTTGAAGGAAGGAAACTTGAAAAGGCTATATACGAAGAGTTGGATGAAAGGGGGTTAGAACATAATGCTGAAGAATGGAGTCTTTTGCAATGCAGGCGTTCAACAAGGAAACAGGATGGGAGAGGGGTCCCTGTGGAGCTTCCCTTCTGTCAGATCGAGTTTTCTCATCTTGTCTTCGCACCAAAGCAGTTGATCTTTTGTGATCATAGCCATTCTTAGTACCCTTGACACAACTTTGGCATCAACAAGACTTAAGAGCAGAATTACTTCTTCGTTTGTTGATGGCCATGCCTTCTTTTTGAAGCTCTTCTTCTTGCGCAATTCCTTCAGTTTTAACCCTTTCTGCAATCAAGTACCAATGATGATGGATAGGTTAAGACTTGTTTTCACCCTTTCACATGTTTTGACATTGCCATCGCCAAAAAATAGTTACCGTCTAGATAGTTTATTTTTTGAGGCAAACTCGATATGAACTAAGGCCATGATTAAATTGAGTATTAATATGGACCATAGTGCTTTCTCTGATATACACTGTACAGTAAGAAATGCATATTGATTTTATAACAAAATAGGGAATCAAATTTTTCAGCGATTACTGCAAAATTTCAGCTTAAGACCAACGTATGCCTTCCATGCAAGCTGAGAAAAAGATTGAAGCTGAAGCAAGGATCAATACCTTTTCTGAAACTGACTGAACTTGCTGAAGAGGTTTAGCCATTTGATTCTGGCTTCCAAACAAATTACGAACCCCACCGGCCTTTTTCTTATCCAACTTCAAGAATGTGTAGAAAGTCAAGATTGATGTCTGAATTAACTTAAGAAGGTCAGGGGCTAGAATCCTGTAATCTGATTCCTCATCTTCGACCACATTCTGATAGGTACCTGAACCATTCAATAAGACAAAATCTAATCATACTCCATTTTGACGAGTATAAATGCAAGTAATGATATATCCAGCTATAACTAGTACTTCTGTCTAGAACAAATAGTCCATGCCACTACTTAACTGACCCAACTATGATAAAAAGGATCTTTTTGTAAAATCATGTCACGTTCTCAATTATGACTTATAAGTAGTAGGGATAATGTGACAACTAATTTTAGATGGAAGAAGCATATCAGAGGCTCTCCTATATGGGATCTCACCTTGCACCTTCGGAACCTGTAGTAATTTGGACAAAGATTTTCGGCTTTGAGCATATTTTTCTACTCTTGAACCTTGCTCAAAAGGCTCATTTTCAATAAATCTCTGTAACAACACCTCAAACTGCTGATATTGCTGTGCGCAGTGGTTATAACAAGTAGGATTCTCAGGCTGACATGATATCTTCTGGCTCAGCTGTGTGTACTGGCTATGAAGGGCTTCCCATGTTAAGCAAATATGAGCTACATAAGCTGTTTCGAGGTCCTGGAAAGGACTATAATCTGGTTGCTGCAGCTGCTCAGTGTCACTATCAGGCTCTTCCATCTTTTTCAGAGAGAGGCATCTAAAAGAAGATACAAGCTTTCTAGATGCAGCTCTTGGAGATGGCGTCGAAGGACTCATGGGGCCTGCATCACAAGAGTAACACGATTTAAGTTCAATCTTTGGATATAAAATAAAAACAGATGGGTGTTGCCAAGGGTTTTTGAACATATGAAGTAATAAAATTCATTCAAACACTAAGGCTAAGCAGGATAGGCATTTCCAATAAGATTAGCAACAATATCATTTTGAGCCATAATCATATTAATAAGATTGTAAGATTAAGCAACTTGTTATATATTACGAGTATATGGTAGTATGGTACTGTGCTCAAGACAACTACATAGAGGATCATTTAGCCACAGACTTGATAGCAAGACTATGATGGTAAAGGAATTCACTTCCTTCACAATCAACTTAAATAGGTACAAAAGGGATTTACTTTCCTCTTCGATTCATACTAATTACTAAACATGTAAGGACGTAAAATGTGAACAGCTAAGAAAAAAAAAAAGTTAACTAAAGCATTAATGATCACAAAGAAACGCAAAAGCTGGTAGCACATGCTCAACTAAAAGTCTATTCTATAAAAAGAAAAAAAAGCATTTCCTTTCTAGTTATGGTAGGGATGATAATAACATCCTAGATGTTTAACTCCTAAATTAAATCATTTTGATATCTACAATTCAAATGTTCTCAACAAAAAGTGCAAGTCATGTAAAATAAATGTTGGCACCAAATTGTTTGCTAGCTTCAGAGCTGCATTATTGCTGGCTAGTGGCTAGTTGGCGATCCCGTGATAGAACCTCAAATTGTTAGTGGGACAAAAACAACATAACTTCTCTCAACTGGAGTAAAAGTAAAAGGCACAATTTAGCTAAATATGAAGGCATATCATGTTATCTTTTAAGCATCAATCAAATTTGAATCTTCACAGCAGCCAACACACTCAAAAACTTGACATAATAACAAGGTAAATGACAGAGGCACATATCAAGATAAATACACAGCAAAATGAAACGATGAGCCCTCAAGGCATTGATATTCAAGTCAAATGAAGCTTAAAAATCTCTTTACTGATCCTAAATTGCAGACTAAGATCAATAACTGACCGGCTCTCAACAACATATTACAACAGAAAGACATTTTCTGAAAAATTCTTGGCAGGTAATATGTCCTTTCAACAAGCATGATATAAGACAACATATAAACACCGAAAAACAAGAGCAAATAAAATCTATTAGCCTTATGTGAAACCCTTGCAAAGTAAAGGATAATTAAACCTTTGTGAACCCAAAAGCATAAATTCATCCAAAAAGTAATCATTCACAACGAACACCACTTACCAGCCACATTGAGTTGCTGAGAACTCATCCGATCAAAGAATAGCATCCGCTCACAATACTTTTCGTATATAGATTCTAAATCACAGTACAAATGTTCAACTTGAGATCCCACATCTCTTCCCTCACTCGAGCTTGTCTCACCTTCCTCACCGTCCTCCTCTCCTTCAGCACCTTCCTCTTCCGGTATCAGTACCATAAAACTGTTTCTCCTCAATTCTTTCAATCTCCTCTTCACCTCATTCGTGATGAAATCATCATCATCATCATCCACATCAGCAGGAGCATCTACAGCAACTGATTTACCATTAAGATTGCCATTCTCATTGTTTGGTTCCTCCGGATGAGGAATCGGCTTCTCCTCTAACTCCTCATGCGGATTTGGTTTACGAGCTTTCCTAAACTTCCTTACTTTAAAAAAATCCATCACCAAAGATACAACAACAATCCAATTACTTTCCTCAAAACGGATACCACAAAGTCACAAACTAGATTCTCCCAACCAAAAGGTGAAAAATCTCAATGTAGAAAGATACAACAATAATCCAATCCAACTTTCCTCAAAACCCTTAACTAGATTCTCCCAATTAATTAGTCAAAAATCACAATGCACAAAGCCAGGTTTCTTGCAGTAACAAGCACCAATATACTAATTAACTACCAATTGCAGATAAACTCTACTCTATCACTACTCACAGTCAGAACTCACTTGCTTGGCAGACTAAAACAGCAAAGATGTATCACTGAATCAAGCCACATTCCCTGCAAAAAATACCAAAACAAGAAATTATCAAAGATCTATCAAAGATAAATTAAAAGGATTAAAATGGAAATGTAACAGCATAAAAATGGGATACTCCAAATTCTCACAGAAATATCTAACAAGAAAACTAACTTCAAAAATGCTAGCAAAGTACCAAAAAAAACTTATTCAAAATGACTATAAAGATCCTATCTTTAAAGTACCCTAGACCCTGAAACCAAATCCCAAAATAAAGTTCATACACACATAGCATTATGAAAATGAAGAGCAAATCAAGGGGAAAAAAACAGTTGAACAGCAAAAAACTTACAAAAAAATCAGAAGATCAACCCACAAATTGTAACCAAAACCCCATTCTTCATGATTTACAGAAAAAAAAAAACTTACCCAAATAGAAAATAAACCAAAATCAAAGAAACCCAGAATGCTCAAACCATGTGATTTAAAAGAAAGGCAGAAAAACAGAGAGAAAAGAGTTGAGAAAGTACCAAATGTGTGAGTGAGTGAGTAAATGAGAGCTTGGTGAGTAAATTAGATACAAGCATTAAAAACCCATCTCCCATTTTTATATTATTTAATTTTTTTTTACTTGTATTATTTTATTTTCACTTTTTATATTTATTTCTCAATTTTCTCGTGAAATGTAATAGTAGCAGCACAAGTACAAGAAAAAAAAAAAAAACTTTTTTTCTTTTTGGTACTCCACTAAATATGTTTCTTTCTTGTTGTTTTTTTTTTTTTTTTTCTGTTAAAAATTGAATAATTAGTTAAATTTATGAATTAGTTTGAAGTTTTAGGAACTTAAAAACTTTGAATTTTAGAAGAAAGTGTAGATTTTATTTTGACATTTATTGAGGAACCCTAGGACTAACAAGTAACAACAATTAAATAATAATGAATGCCAATGTCTTTCTCTCTCCTCATTACACTTTCTCTCTCTAAAATGAAGTGTGCAAAGGAATATTGTCAGAGAAAACCCTCTAAAACAGAAAGGCCGCGAAAGCAGAGGTTTTTCGAGTAAATAGCATGTGAAATTACATTTTTACCCTTGTTGTTTTTTATTGGGTATGATGCAACATGCATGGATTTGGAATATAGTGAAATTTTGTGCTGATTTTTTTTTTTTTTAAAATAAATAAATAAATAAGTTGGTTGGATACTTTGGATCCCATTTTATGCTCTGAATTTCTGATCTAAGGTTGTGTGGGGTGTGGGGCCCAAAACCTAGATCCCAAAATTAATTTTTATGGGATAAATTTATCATGGTCAAAGTAGTCAGATCCTTATTCTAAATCTTTTGTTTTATAATTATATAATATGACTGACTAATGAAGCACAGTTTAAAGATTGCATGAAGTGGTACTCTGGTTATGACTAATGAGTTTATAGTGCTTTTTATGTCATCCCCCTCTTTTGCTAGCATATTGATTTTTGTAGTCCCACACCCTTTTTGAAGGCTTGTAGAGTTGTAGCATATGTGTTGTAAAAAGTTAACCCGGATTGAGAAACCGATTCAAATCTAACAATTGTTTTATTCCATATACTCTCTTTGTCTCTCTTTGTCTCTTAATGATTGTTCTATGTATTAATGAGTACTCATACTCTATATGTTATCAAGGCTTGATTAAAGGTATGCATGTAGATCGACAAAGCTGTGCATATATGGAAAATAAAGTGAGTTAGAAAATATACCAAAAATCCAAAATAGACATCGGAGAAACTCAAAAAAAATTCCAAAATGATATATTGGGTCGTCTTTATAAAGCAAAGGCAGTAACTCGGAATAAGGTTAGTTAGAGTGGAGTATAAGCCGTATAACTCAAGTGGTTAGGGCTCTCCTCCCGATTTCAATAGATTTTGGAATCAATTCTCAACCCCCACCCTTAATAGCTCTCTAAACACCGAGAAAAATACGTTAATGATCAAATTAATGCATTGACAAACGTGGACTATCAGTTTTTCTAAAATAAAGGTTTTTTTTTCTTCCTTCTTTCTTTCAAAAAAAAGGTATTACAATTTTATTAATACGGAGTACTAGTCACTACAGTAGACTACTAGTAGATGAATAGAGTTCTGAACAAACAAGCCAAACTTGTTCATATTGACAACTTGTGACACTTGCATCCAATCTCGAGCAAAGTCTTTGACCTTTCTCAAGCTCATAAAGTCAAGCTGTGTAATACGTTTGAACATTGTTACACAATAAAAATCATACAGTACTCTGCAACAATTTTTAAGATTAACTATGTTTTGAGATCCTCAAAATTATTTCACAAATCTTCGCAATTAATTACTCGTGACTACGTAAAAATCACGAGTAAATCACTTAAAATAATTTGATCATGTTCGCGAGCATCTCATGTCATCAATGCTAGTTGTGCTACGCTTATTTATCAACCTTGACACCAACTAGAAAAAGAATTGCAAGAGTGTGGACTCATGAAGAGCAGTAGCCACTAGCCAGTGGGGGGCAATAGGACCCATTGGACCAGTTTTAGGGCGACCCCTACACTATATTGGGTCATGTCACTCATGTGATCTAGTGAGTGTGAGTCCTCCTGTTTCGTCGTTGTCTTACAGCATATAGTACAATCCAAAGATGTTCTCAAATAAATCAGAAACACACAATAACATTCATGTGTCAACCCACTCAAAGTAGCAAATCTAATAATGAACAAAATTTTATAATCTGTTCAGTATTTACCACTTGCAATGGGCTCACCATTACTTCATTACATGTTTTTTTACTGTACGCCGACATTTATAGACACCAGTCACGTAGCGTTTGAGTTTCTACGCCATTATTGAGTTGCTTTGGTGATTGCTACATCTACACACTGGGTATATACTACCATACTCAATTTACACTGACCGATTCTTTTTGTCTTCTTTTTTTGTTAACTGTATGCCTATTGATATACACCGCATCAGATGAGTAACCACTTAGATACTATTGTATTTGCTTTTCCAAGTACACTTAATAAGTTCTAATTAAGTGAAAGTGTGGTTGCAAAGGTGAGACAAAGATTAGTAACCTAACCAAGTAGATGGTATTGGCTGAAATCTAGACTTAGCACTTCCCAGGAGATCATAGTAGTCGGCATGATTCAAGCAGTCACGAAAATCTGTGAAAAGCTTCTCAAATATGTTCCACAGCACTTTGTTTGATCTTGAATATGGAAATGGAAGAAACACCTGAGGTACAGAAAAAGAATGATAGTTAAAAGGTCGCTCACACTTTGGCAGGCTACAATTGAAAAATGATAACTTGAGGATAATAACAAAGTTGCATCCTATGATTCCTAACAAGTTAATTTGTGCATGTTATATACTTCATATCAGGTACAAATGATGATTTCTTACATTTCCCTCCAGAGCCAAACGCTTAAGTACATGGAACGTCCTCTCGTCTTCCTCTAAATTGTCAATGACAGCAAGCCAGATTAAAGAAGCAAGCTCATGAGCTCTTTCTCTTGGATTCCCACATGATATGAACTGATCTGCCGACAAGAAATGTGGGTGAGAAATTGTCAGATTAATTAATGTGCGTAACACATAGATAGTCTAACTTCATGAGGTTTTCTAGCACAAGATATAAGACCTGATTACAACAACGGATCAACCTAACAAATCCTTATATTTGTACTCAGAACAAGCTCAATGATGTATAGAGCTTAAATCACTATGCTTTCCACCAGTAACAGGAGGTTATGTTTCTCAATATTATAGAGCAGGAATTGCAGACCTTACGGAAAAATATAAATTAATGATTGAAAATGAACCATGATAGACAAATCACTGATGTTCACCTATTATTGTCCCGTGAAGTATTGTAGAAGGGGCTGGCATGGAAGAAATCTCAAGTTGTTCTTTCAGAAAAAGGTATGTATGACCAACAATCTCATCCATCTCATCACCTAGGGCAAAGATGTGTCTACTGACATACAAAGCTGTGAACCTCCTGCATAAATAAGCTGGAACATTAAAAGCTAATATATGCCCTTATTAGCATTATCACAATCTCAACACCAAAACATGTTATATGACATCAGAGGGATAGGCGGTATAGACATAGTAATGTCGAGGAGAAACTGCTCATTAAAGGTCCGTCTCACTCCAGAAAGAATTGCAGAGCAGCTCAATTTTTCACTTCAAAAGTCTCAATTTAAGCTAAGGATGTCACAACAACAAAGGTAGTATTATAAAATACTGTACTTTACTACAAGGTACTTTACTAGTTCTTTAGTGAAAGGTTAAGTTATTCAATGATCAAAGGCTGTATATTGGCAAGCACAATTATAGTCTTTAACCCAAAAACTGAGACTATTCTCATAGTTAATCATACTCAAGAGTTACCTTTTACTTAATCCTCGAGGAATTGGTCCAGGCCACCTTTTTGCCAGATCAGCAAAAGGATATGTCTTTATTAGAGCAGCTTGCCATAGACACTCTCCTTCAAACAATTTCGCCCATTGTTTCTTGACACAGGATATTTTAGCCCAGTCAGTGACAGGAACTCGAATAAATATCTCAACTAGCAAATGATCAGGCAGCTTTCCAAGTGGATTTTCATATGAATTTGCAGTTTCCCTGTCATAAGTCATCAGGTTCCTACAGTAGAGTTGAAACAGCATATATTAAGAGACCAAGGAGGTAGACCATGTCACGAAGAAAAAAGAAACACACACGTATAGACAGTGAAGAAAAAGAATGATGAGGAAGTACATGAGGATCATTGCTCAAATTAAAAACATTTTAAAAACTACCAAAATCAGGAAGCAGCTTTAATGTAAATACAACTTTCATTGCTAGGGTGATGAAGGTTAGTGAGGAATGCGGTTTGGTCTCGCCTATTGAAGAATTCCCTATAGTGATCTGTTATGAATTGACTTATTGAAGAAATTGATGAAAAGCTAAAAATGATGATTCTGATTGGCAAACCTGGTATTACATTTAATTGAAGATAAACGCCAAGTATTTGAGAGACTTGAGGCTCTCCCAAAGCTAAAAAAACTTCTTAATTCTTCATAATACCTTCTCTTCATACCCTGATTCCCTCCTCTACTTATATAGTTATATAGTCCTCCTGATGAACTCTGTACTAGAAACATTTGTTGCACTATGCACCTAACACTAAGTGCTCTCAATGTACTCCGTAAAATATTCTGTACTCAATAATAACTTATAAATGTAATACAACTACGAAGTAATCATTAAAATGTGAACTTAGTACTTGTATGTTTGAGGACAACATTTTCATACTCTATATCCGTTAATCTATACAGATATGTCGATGATGCAAATATTGTTATCTTTTAGAAGAGTTGATGACGCAATATTGTTATCTTCCACAATCATGTTTCCTGATATCCTCCTCTACTTATATAGGCTTCCTGATTCCTGTTTCTCTAACTATTTCCTGCAAATTTCCTCAAGTTTCTTAACTGATTTATTGTACACTTCTGATTATACCCCTATAGCTGGTCATAATCTAATGAACAACTTCAATATCTTTAAATGTACATTACTTTTTAAACAAAGAGTGCACAACTTAGTAAATTCATCCGTTAAGTCATGCATAATATTTATAAATGCACTTAAGAACACTCCTCCTTCCCAACGAGCCCATTTCTTTTTTATTTTGATAAGATTAATCTATTGTACGAAGGGTAACATACTAACATTCTGTATCAGCTCCACCACTCTTTTTAAAGAGTACTAGTCTAAGATTCCCACTAATCTTTTCGCCAATAGGCAATCCAATCTCGGATGCTTCCAGCCTCAAACAAGCCATCAAGAATATTCCCATCTTCTATTAATCCTCAAGAATTGCATCAACACCATAACACCCCAGATGCTAAGAATCTAGACTGAACTAATCAACAGCTTACAACTTGGTTTGTTAATCAAACAGCTAATTTAGGGCAGACAGTCATAATCTGAGTGATAAAACCTTCACCCCACCTGCTAAATTCTCTTAAACCAAACAATTTAATCATAGTACAGAGTTTGAACAAAAATCCATGGAATTCAAGATACATATGTAGCATAAAATTTGTATCATCACACCTAAAAATTTAAGAACCTGTTAATTTATCACAATTCTAGTATTTGCTTTCATCATAAATTACCATAATTTACATGGTAATTTCATAAACAAATTGAAGAAATATGGAATATAAACTATCTCCATGAAATCCTCACTAAGGTCCTTTTTTTCTTTTTTCTTTTTTTTTTTTTTTTTTTTTTTGGGCATAAATCAATTGATCCTGATAATAAAAACAAATTCTTCGGATTACAAAATTATAACAGAAAACAGCAGAACTTAACCAGAAATATAATTCAAACAAACAAACTATTCTGATTCCTGATAATAAAAAAGCATAGAAATTCCACGGATTAAATAAACTATATAGAGTAATTACTTACAAATTCAAGCAAAAAATGAAGAAAAATTGGAACTTTAACAAACCTAAGAAACAAAGTTAGAGAATTTCAAACCTGTTTAGAGAAAGAATTGAAGGTAGAGAAGAAGTGTGAGGTGAGAGGTGAGCGGCTTTGCAGATAATATTCCTAGTTTGGTAGCTGCTGCTACAGAGAAGTATACAGCAGATACTGTTACTGTAGCAACAAGATGTGGATGAATTAGATACAACTACACGTCAAGGACAACTAGTAGCCTACTAAACAATTTTAGCTGGAGAAGTCATTTGGTTTTTTGGGTTGAGAGAGTCACGGATGACAATGATGTCTTTATCGCATACACAATGACAATGATGTTTTTTGTTGAGGAAAATTAATAAAGTGTTAAAGGAGTTTATGTACAATGTTACAAAAGGAATTTGATTTGGGGTTTTATTGACACTATTACCTTTGTAAAGGCTATGGATTTACAAATTATAAAGCAAATACTAAACTCGTTCTTGAAATTGTAACTCGCTTGGATTTTGCACGGTATTTCATTTTTTTATCATTAGTGTCGTCTTTCATTATCAGATATAGTTAAAGTTATTTTATTTGGATTTTTAACCACATGAATAAGTTAAACTCTCATAATATTACTCCATAGTTAGGATTTTAAGAGAAGTAATATCTTTCTCTACATGTTATCGCTAGTATTTTAATTATGTCACACACCCTAAAAATATATGGAAGGTTTCAAAGTAAGATGCATTCGATGACTAAAGAAGTAAAAAGTTACACTTCAATACACATAAGAATATACCCTCCATATGTGGACGTTTTTCCAAAGTGAGCCAATTTTGGCAAATATTAACCAAAATGGTTGCGTGGCAAAAGTATTTACCAAACTAAGCTTCCAGGCTAAAACGCTGTCTCGGTCAGCGTTTTATGCCTGGGTTTTTTTAAAAAAAAAAAAAAATTACCTAAAAACGCTGTCTGGGACAGCGTCTTTGTTGTTGACCTTTTTTTAAAAATTTTTGTAATTGCCTTTTATTTATAAAAATGTTTTTAAAAAACAAAAACAGTTATACCAAAGACGTTGTCCCAGACAGCGCTTTATGTACAAACTTCCTTGTACCTAAAACGCTGTCTCAGACAGCGTCTTATTTTCAACCTAAAACGCTGTCTGGGACAGCGTTTCTCTACTGGTGTGCAAAACAGCAGCAAAATCAGCCTTTTGCCACTGATCTGCCACTTTCTTCTGCCCCCACCCACCACCCCCTGCCATGATTCTTGCCACCACAATCCACCAACAACCCCCACCATCGACCACCATCTGCCACCACTTTTGACCTCCAACAACACTTCAACCAGCTCCACCACCAACCCCAACCATTCAACAACCGTCGATAACCACCCACCACAACCAACAACACTAAAACCACCATGAACAACCACATTAACCACCACGGGCCATCCTTTCTTCCCCATTTTCGACTATGGATTCCAAATGTCTGTTGTTTAATGTACATTAGCCCTGAAGGATCTATTTTGACTGACATAAATCCGATTTGGATAAATAAGCAAACAAAACTTCAAAACACAAACAGATTCATTCAACCAGCATGTCTTATATTGATAATGCAATCGTTATATACAGCATTCCAGGAAAAAGGACAAAACAATGATACAATACGTTCACTACTCATCAATTTGGTGTAACCCTTCCCTAGCCTCACTGTCGTCCCTTCGTCTTGGACGACGCCGAGTGTAATGGTGAATGGTGGTGAATGGGTTCCGGCGCGGGGGGGGAGTGAGCTGGCTGGACGATGCGTCCTCCTGGGTTCTGAAGGGTGCAGAACTGTGGAAGATGTACTCCTCTGCCTCTGTGTGCGACGTAGGATCACCTCCACTGCTACTCTGGCCGGGGTCGAACCGCGAATGGATGGAGTGACCATCATCACCGTCCCGCTGTTGGATGAGATGACCGTGACCATGTCTGCGTAAGGAAGTCGCGGACATATCTCGCATCCGCTGGACCTGGGCTCTGGTGGGTCCGTCTGTAAGGGCGAGGGACAGTGCATCATACATCGCCACCATATCCGCCGCCTGTAGTAATCATCGATCAGTCAAGTACATGATATTTAAAAAAGTTAAAAAATGAGGATGATAAGTATAGTAAAAGAAACTCACATATCCGCTAATGACGTCATATGCCGGGTGGTAATTGGTGGACGGTGGTGTGTAGCTGGGGTTGATGAAACGGCGTGTGATAAGCCTGTACCACACCATGTACGGATCGTCATGATCCATAACGCCCTGCATGGGATAACCCTGAACGACATGACCCAACCGCTGCTCCCATAGCTGAAGATACTGCCAATGCTCCAGTGCCCAGTTTGTCTCCGTCTTTCCCCGACGGTCAATGTCGTGAAGACGCACGACAGTGTCACAGTTCTGGGGAATAGGCTGCTGCAGTCCGAACTGTTGCATGACGCGGTCAGGTAGGTGACTCTCCACAACCTCGAAACAGATCAGGGGGACCCGGGCACGCCACTCTCCCTGATGCTCCAGTAGATGTGCAGGCATGACATCTACCAACTCCGGTACATACGGATCCCATGTGATCTGCAATAACACATCCTAAATAAGTTAGTCCACAATCAGTATACACAGTACCTAAATGATTACAAATGTCTTCAGAGTTTGTACCTGATCCTCAGTGAGTCGATCAAGGGCGTCTCGGTAGTATAGGAGACCCGTCGCCGCATGTGCCTGTGTGAGTCTGGGGACCATCCACCTGGGGCAACAAATTTGGTAAGTATGTTTACAAAATGAAATCGTATATGGGAAAAAAATGACAATTGTTACAAACCTGCAACCGTAAGCCTCATCAGCTGCAGGGCGAGGCGGAGCGATGTACGGCTCATACTGGTCATCCTGGTCTTGCTGCCCCGGACGATGTACAGCAGGCCTACCTGGTCTTCCTACGTGGATGTGCTCCCAAGCCCATAGCTTCAATAGCAAAACACAAAACTATGTTAAATATGACATTACTCATTGCATAATTCGCTTGTGATAATATACGTAGTATACCTGAAGCACAAACAGAGGTCCTCCAATCTCGAGCGCACCACTCCGTGAGGCTCTGCAAAGTTGGCGATACAACACCGCCAAAGAGGCACTACCCCAGCTGTATCCACGGATATGCTCCCAGTCGTGGTCTAACAGCTGTAGGTAAATAAGCTGCAAGTGGCTCCCGCTCTTGTTGCCAAACAACACGCCGGATATGAGGAAGAACAAGTACGCTCGAGCGTATCTCTGTACTGTGGCGTCATCGGCGTCCGCAGGCAAGCCCTGGAAAGTATCTCGTAACCAGACCGTCCTCAAGGCGGAGCCCCTAACATCGTTGGGACCCGGCTGCACCCCGAGAACCCGCACAACCAATCCAACGGGATCGACTAGAAATGATCCCGTCACCGCAGTCCCCTGTACTGGAAGGCGCGTCAGTATTACCACGTCCCGCAATGTCACAGTCGCCTCCCCAACTGGTAGGTGGAAGGAGTGCGTCTCCTGCCTCCATCTCACCACTAACGCCGTGACAAGGTGTCGGTCGATCTCCCTGAATCCCAAGCGATGTACACCGCCAAAGCCAGCGTACGTCACGTACTCAAGGCAGCGATCATGGACAACCCAGGGGGTCCTGTAGTGCCTGCACTGTAGTGGATTCGCTACGTCATCCTGAAAACACAGGAGCATTTATAAGTAACAAAAGATAGTACATCAAAGAATCCAAAAACGTTAAAGATGAATCATTACCGTCAGGTTCCATACGTCGACGCTCCGATGGGTGTCCTGTAGTGTCAGGACAGAAGGGTCAACAAGTCCGGGTGTCCTATCCCGTACGTCCATGATATCTGTTCATTGAAAACGTTACACACCAAACACTAACACAATATATTGAATACTAATTTCGATTGAAAGGCATAAACAGGAAATCTCGAACATCCAACGTACAAAATAAAATTCATCGAATTGAACACAATAACACATAATGTAGAAAATTATAATTGTTTCATCAAAATAACACCACTACATACTACTATATCAAATAACACATATACACTTAGGTCCTATGTTGGTCTAGATGGACAAGCAGTGCGGTTGTGACCTTGCTGGTGACAACGGCTGCATTTGGTTGGGGGCCGGTTGCTGTCATCCATCTCATTGCGTATGCGCTTCGACTTTGGACGACCTTTTCCACGTATCATTGTGCCGTCCGGAATGAGTTTAGGGCCTACGTATTGTGCCCACTGTGCCCAGGTTGTCTCGCAGGGGATCAGCCAGAACTGTGGTGCATAGGTGTTCATGTAGGCGGCCGACTGCAACAGAGGGTCCACCCAAGGTCGTTCTGATAGTGAGTATGTAGCACAGACTGCTAGCACATGAGAACATGGGAGGTGGAATATCTTCGGTTTGTTGCACGTACACGTTCTCAACTGCTAGTTCATCGTATGCTTGTGGCCTCCTTTATTACCAACTCTCTCTCCCCTCTCTGTTGTCACTTGGTAAATATGCAATCGCCGGTTATAGGCATCCACTCTATGATATCTGGCTTTAGCGGTGTTCTTCTCGAGGATGGCAGTGACCTTTGGGGGGTATGGAAGTCCCTGATCAGACCTAGCCTCAGAAGACTCCCTTCTCAAAGTGAAATACTTGTTAACTCTGTGGAAGGTTAACTCGACAAGGGACATAATCGGTAGAAACCGAGCTCCTTTCAGCACATTGTTGAATGTCTCCGAGAAGTTAGTAGTACATATACCATACCTGCGACCACTGTCGTGAAACAGAGACCACATAGGGAACGGGACTTGAGCAATGTACTCAATGGCCTTGGGACAGGCCTTACCAATGAAACACAGATCAGCTTGAAGTTTTCTTTCTTACCTTTGGTACGCAGCGGCCTTGAACATGTCTCTCATGTTAGAGGCTATGTGGCGGACACAAAACCTGTGATACGCTCGGGGCTGGGTGAATCCAACATTAGGATCATTCATTGCTGCAATGATCCCAGGATGCCGATCAGAAATAACACAAAGGCCATCCCGTTGCGTGACACGATCTCGAATACAACCTAGGAACCAAGACCAGCTGGAAGTGTTTTCCCCTTCAACCACCGCAAATGCAATAGGAAATACTTGGAAGCTTGCATCAACACTCGTAGCAACCAACAATGTTCCTTTATACTTCCCGTACAAGTGCGTCCCATCGATACAGATAACATGCATACAATGTTTAAAGCCATCGATACAAGGACCGAAGGCCCAAAACACTCGTTCAAACACTTCCATGTTGTTGTAGTATACACCATCCACTAAAGCTTTGTGTTTCCATACGACACATGTTCCCGGGTTCGACCGTAGGAGTGCTTGCATGAAGTGGGGAAGTCTGCCATATGAACTTTCCCAATCCCCAAATATCTCAGCTATAGCTTTCTCCTTGGCATACCACGCTCGTCGATACGGGACATCGAAATGAAACTGCTTCGAGATCAGTTCCTGTATGAATTCCACTTTCAACGAAGGATCTTTCCGCACAAAGGACTTCACATACTCGGCTATTACGGACGAATCCAAGTGTGGGTGATCATTAGATAGTACTTCAGTGATACATGTCTCCCGATGCGGGCCTTTGTACGTGACTATGGTAAAACCACGTGAGTGCTCACTCGATTTGGTACCCCGTAGCATCCAACCACATTTCTTCTTGCATCGCAGATGTAGGACACCATCATTCGAGGTCATTGTGGTGTAGAATTGATTCCTCTGAATAGAATACATCTTCACCATTTCTTGAAGCAGTTTCTTGCTCTCAAAATACATTCCCTTCTCAAATTCTCCCCCGGGAACAAAAGAGGTGTGGCTACCCGATTCGGCCCAATACTGATCAACTTCATAGTTCTCGGGTACCTCACTGAACCAAGGTATGGGAGTTCTAACCAACGGCTGACCATCTTCCACCTGTGTAGGTTCATCATCCCCCTCTCCGTTCTCGTCCTCATCATCCATTTCCGCATACACATCATACACCGACAATTCATTATTCACAGCATCATCAAAATGATTTGGCTCTTCTCGAAACGGTGAACCATCATCACCTTGCATAGGAGAGTAGCTATGCAATTGCATCGGCGAAGATGCCACGGTGTTCGATGACGACGGAGCAGGCTGGCCGAACACTGTCACGCGTCCCCCCGCATGTACTGGTGAAGCTATATGAGAACTAAAAGGCAAGTGAAATTGGTCGTCCTACATCATTCGAGTGAAAGAACTCATCCTATATGCATTCGATGGAATGTGGTTTGCGGGCTCTTGGAAGGACGCGGTGTTGTAATCAGAGACATATGTAGCTTGCTGTTCTGCCCGAGTACTTTGTTGGGTACATATAGGCACTGTTTCTACATATATCTCATTGGGAAAACCCTTCATTCCTACCATGCTCCTCAAATCTTTCAAATGTCTGTTCGTAGAGACAGGTAACACTTGCACCCCATGACCAGTATCACACCTCATTTTAAGGTTCAGTTCAACAGTCATAGGGTTTGAACCAATACAACTGTGAACCTCATTCATCAGATCAGTCACAGTCATGTTCGGTTCAAGTGTTATAAGGTCCATATTCCCTCCACTGTACTCCACATTTGATCCATTACACAAAATTTCACCTCCCCATCGACATAACAACGCTACATTTTGTCCAGCCATATTCTACATAACAACCAAAACACATTTTACGTAAAGCCGTTAAATCATCCCTAAATCACCACAATCAAACAAAATTTTTTTACATACTCTACAAATTAACTATTAAGAACCCCTAAATCACCATTATTACACAACAATGTAGGTAATTACAATTGTTCAAAACCTAATAATTATCAACCATTGTCAACAATTTTCAACAAAACCAACAACAACAATTCAACATTATCCAAACCATTATCAACACTAACAATATCAACACTACCATTATCAACACTAACAATTCAACAATTACCAACACTAATAATTCAACAATACCAACACTAACAATTCAACATTTTTAACACTAACAACTCAACCTCATCAACATTTTAACCCAATTCCAAAAAAATTAGAAATCACCAACATAAACCCTAGAATTTAAAACACAAAGAAAGTTGAATGAATACCTATTGCAGGGTGAGGGGAGTGTATAGTGGGCTACACGGAGGGCGACGGTGGAGGTGGCGGCGCCGGCGGCGGTCTACACGGAGGAGCACAAGTATGAGAGAGAGGGGGATTAAGTTAGAGTTTGGGAAAGAAGGGGTTTGAGAATGAAGGAGGAGGAAATGAAATGAAATACGCTGTTGGAGGGAAAAAAACACGACAGAAACGCTGTCTCAGACAGCGTTTCATTAATAACCTTAAACGCTGTCTGAGACAGCGTTTATAGTTCCAGAGTTAAACGCTATCTGGGACAACATCTTTGGTATAACTGTTTTTTTTTAAAACATTTTTATAAATAAAAGGCAATTACAAAAAATTTTAAAAAAAGGTCAACAACAAAGACGATGTCCCAGACAGCGTTTTTAGGTTGATTTTTTTTAAAAAAAAAAACCAGGTATAAAACGCTGACCGAGACAGCGTTTTAGCCTGGAATCTTAGTTTGGTAAATACTTTTGCCACGCAACCATTTTGGTTAATATTTGCCAAAATTGGCTCACTTTGAAAAAAACGTCCTCCATATGTTATCAATAGGTAAAGTGGTAAACAAGATCCAAGTCATCCAACTATCATATATTGCACTGTAGTTACTTGACCTTTTGCTAAAGGGGTTTTCTTAATGATTTAGAAATCATGGGAACAAAATTCATACACTTCAATAAAGGTGACCATATATAAAGTAACTTCTCAATACCAATTAAAAAAAAAGACAAAAATAAACTAATATAATTATTATATGACTAAATCAAAACCTCAATAAGCTTAATGACACTTGTTAAAAGAGTAATTAATTATGTAATTCAATCTGCCAAGTTGGTCATATCCTTCTTTTCAATTGGTATTGTCCAAAGCAACCAAACAAAGAAAAATCGTTCAATTTTCTTCTTTGTTAAGCTATAATAGGAAAGAAGACAACCCGACTCAAATTCCAGTTATTCCAATCAAAGGCATTTCTTTCTCTGCTTTTGCTTCAGGTATGTGCTCAACTTTGTGAATTTTCAGCTATGAATTCTTTGCTTTTTACTCAATTATACCCTCAATTTTCTCTTCGAAATGAAATATTGATCATTATTAGAAAGCATCATTTTAAAGTTTGAATCTTTTGATTATTATTAGTAGAGAAAGTAACATCAAATTGGTATCAAAGACCTGTGATTTTGATTCTTCAGAAGCTTGTAATTTGAATTGATTTTGATCATTTTGTAGATTTTTGATTTGGGTATTGTGCAAATATTATGATTTGTGTGTTGGTCATTAATTGTTAAAAATCTGTTATGTTGTCTGAATAAGATTAACTTGAGATTTGGGGTTTTGATTGGAGGTTCTGATGTGAGGTTTAGGGATGTTATATGCACCTGTTTTGAAGTTAACATAATTTAATTGAGAATTGACTTATTCCCAATGAATAATTAAAGTGTGGAAGAAATTACTCGTTTTAGAGAGAATGACTAGAATAATGAACAAGGACGAGTAGGGAAAATGTCAATATTGTGGGACTTTTCTGGGTGCTTTATGTTTATCATCACAATAACAATGATATCTGGCTTTAATCCCCAAAGGACGGGTTTGGCTACACAAACCGGCCGGATTTTATCCACAAAGTTATGGAGAAAAGGGTCGTATCGATTGTGTATTGGCATAGTGGGTGGGCACTTTGAATCATATGGTTAGTTATTGCAGTTCAAGCAAGCTTCCCTCTCAACGTGCTCGTTTTACTGGCTACATAACACCTAAAGGTTGCTTGAGTTATGGTTAGTTTGTGCTCGAAGTATTAGTTTTACTGTTATAGTTATGGCCGTGTCAATGTTTTTCATTTTTAATATAGTTGAGTTATGTATAATAGATTAGAAATATGGAGTGTAAAACTTTGCCACATTACATGACATGAGCCACAATGATTGAGAGTAGCTGAGTAGTACTAGGATGGGTGACCTCTTGGAAATTCCTCGTGTTGGTTCATGTAGTTGACACCACTTATGGGATTAAGGCGTTCAAGCAAGCAAGTTAAGTGGATGTGTTTTGTGAGACTTGGTTCCTGGTTTCTTATACCATTCATTTGGCATCCTATTCTTTTGTTCATTACTTCCTGCTGTTTTTGGAGGATGTGGGTGTGTGTGTTGTTTGGGGGGGGGGGGGGAAGGATCGGTTTTATTTCTATCGACTGCTCAAGTTGAAGCTTTTGCGTTGCTATATTTCTTAAGGAGAGAATGGCCAAACAATAATGTTTTTTTTTTTCAGAATTTGACTTGACTGTCATATGATTGGATGCTGATAAATTTGGTTACTCACATACCAGCTGCATTCTTGATTGCTCTGTCTGAACCAAAGCTATGCCAATGGACCTCAGTGATCTTTGCAAGGTCTGGGAAGTTAAGCCTCTGAAGACGACTGGTGAAAATGAGGCTCGAAAAATTCTGGAGAATGTGGTGAAACATGTGCAGCCAATCCTGCGTAAGCATAAATGGAAAGTTGAGGTCCTTTCTGAATTTAGGTATGAAGGCACAAGTTTCTAGTTAAACTTAGTTAATTTCTTTTAAGTTGCTTTACAACTTTCTGATGAAATTATTAATGTGCCAATCACAGCCCATCTAATCCATCCCACATGGGATTGAACATAGGAGGAGGTGCAGAGATTAAGCTACGGTTGCGGAGGCCAGAAAGAAAGTGGGATTTCTTCTCTGATGAACAGGTGCTTGATACTATGCTGCATGAACTGTGCCACAATGAACATGGTCCCCATAACGCTGACTTCTACAAACTCTTCGATGAACTTAGACAGGTTAGTGACTTTGCTAACTCATTTGTTTTTTTTTCCCCATCATATTCTAGCAAATAAACTGTTGTTTAGCTTTTCTACTTAATTCATACTTGATTCTGTGTGCTGATGCCAATCAACTTCTCCTCATCATTGTTCAGTCTTGGCAAAAGTTGTCCATTATAGCATATACATGCATTGACTGAACATATGTGGAATTCCCTTGGATGGGTTAAGAATAAGTGTAGAAATCATGCACACACTAAAATCTGTTTTGGTATTTTTTGAAATCTATTATTGCCAGGATATAAAGCAATTCTTTCATCATTTCATAGTGTGTTCTGCATGTTCAACAATATTGAAGTTATTAATTGTTAAGAATAGATTCAGCTACATATAGCTGGATAGGAATATGCAATGGCTCTCGCCAAATGATTCACAATTTAATTTGTTGAATAATGAGAACTCTTCTTCTCATTATTGATAAAATGATATCAAGTTATCAATCCACCATGTAAAATGACTGACACTGAATGTTTCTGTTATATATCTCTAGGAGTGTGAGGAATCAATGGCGAGAGGAACTAAAGGCACTGGGAGAGGAGATGATCTGTCTGAAAGACGTATGGGTGGGTCCTCACAACCACCACCTTTGCCATTTTTCCGTCAAAATGCATTGACTGCTGCTGAAAGAAGAGCACAACATGGAACTTTGCTGCCATCGGGACCTAGGAAAATTGGTGGTAATAGTAGTACGATGGCTGACCTCACCCCAGTTCAAGCTGCTGCCATGGTTTCAGAAAGAAGACTTCGTGATGAGTTATGGTGTGGAACCCAATCCTTGAGGACCAATGGCCAGGAACCAAGTAATAATGCATTCTCCTCGGTGGAATCAAGTAACAATGCATCCTCCTCAATGGAATCAGGCTATAATGCATCATCCGCAATGGGATCAAGTTATTATGCATCCTCCTCAATGGAATCTAGTAATAATGCATCTTCCTCAATGAAATCTCAACAACCCTTTTCAAGTTTGCAAGCTCAGCCACGTGCGAGTCTGCAATCTCATCCACGTGCGAGTCTGCAATCTCAGCCACCCCATGGGAAGATAGAAAGTCAGGGAAGTTGGCAATGCTCTATGTGTACTTTGATCAATAAGGTAAAACTCTAAATTCTAATTTGGATTTGTCATCTACTGTTAGATATGATGTATTAATCTTTGTGAGGTTAGAGAGGAGTTTTTCTTAAGTGAACCAGTGAGGCCCACATGCTCTAAACCAAAATCGAAATTTGATGTGTGAGTGTTCTTGTTTCATATGCACTATTTGTAATACTGCACAATATTAGTTCGTAATATTAGCAATGAAATTGTCCTATACGCTTATATTATCTTTGTTGATGTTCCAACTTCTTAAAAGCACTAGCCTTACTCTAGCTCATACTTTTATATGGTTGATGACTGATTTGCAGCCACTGGCCCTTGCATGTGAAGCATGCCAAATGCCTAGAACCAAGAAAGATGAACCGAGTATTAGTAACTGGTCGTGTAAATTCTGTACCCTGATGAACAAAAGCAATTTAGAAAAATGTTCAGCTTGTGGAGAACCAAGGAAGTCATATGGCCCTCCTCCTAGCAGTGTCACACCTCCTGAAGCTCCTGCATTTGAAACATTCCAAACGCCAAGAAGCAAGAGAGATGATCCGAGTACCAGTAACTGGTCGTGTAAATTCTGTACCCTGATCAACAACAGCAATTTAGAAAAATGTTCAGCATGTGGAGAACCAAAGAATTCATATGTCCGTCCTCCTGGCGGTTACACACCTCCTGAAGCTCCTGCATTTGAAACATTTCAAACGCCAAGAAGCAAGAAAGATGATCCGAGTATCAGTAATTGGTCATGTAAATTCTGTACCCTAATCAACAACAGCAGTCTAGAAAATTGTTCAGCTTGTGGAGAACAGAGGTATTCATATGGCCCTCCTGCTAGCAGTTACACACCTCCTACAGCTCCTGCAATTGAAACATTACATATGCCAAGAGGCCCGAGAAGGGAAGACGGTCCTCGTGTCAGTAACTGGTCATGTAAACTCTGTACCCTGATCAATGACAGCAATCTCAAGAGATGCTCAGCTTGTGGAGAACAGAGATAATCATAAGCCCCTCCTGGTAACGGTTGCACACCGGATGTTGTTACTTAATTCTGGCAGGAAAGTTATACATACAGAAAACTAGAAAAGTATTCTTTGTACAAAATCAATTTGTAACACTACAATTATCCAGGTATTATTTTACCACTGGTCTGTAAATTTCATAATCAATAGCAGCTAGTTTTGAGTGCTGAAATTATGATGTATACACTGATAAGAGTTTATAGCTTATCTAAAATATCTAAATTTGACTTGACCGAACTAATCCGAACCTGACTCAAATTCTCGTGACTAATACTGATAGACTCAAATACGATCCTATCCAGATAAAACCAAACCAACCCATATGGCTCAATCTGAATTAATTGAAACCGAACAATCCATGTGCCACCTCTACTCAAAACTAATAATACGAATATCCATAAGTTGAAATAGAATTGGCTATACAATTCTTCGCCGATTGAGAGCTTTTTTTAGGAGTGTTTCTCTTCCAGGAAAAGGATTGTAAACCCCTGAATTCTGTTCAGAACTCTCATTGCTCTTCCTATACTCACTCCCCTCATCCTCTTCCCCAACTACATTGTTAAACCTACTGCTATTCTTCACATTAGACACCCTTCTCTGCATTCTCAACCTATCTCTTCTCTCCAATCTCCTCTCCCTCACACCAACCTCTCTACTGCAACCCTCACTTCTATCACCTCTCCATCTTTCGCGGTCTTCATCTTCACCTCTCTTCAAGTTCATAACCTCCTCATCCTTCCTCGCCTTAGCCCTTGGAATTCTCCTACCTTTAGAGGTCCCAAGCAGCTGATAATCAACCTTACTCCACCCAACTTTATCATCATTATCCCACCCAAACCTCTGACTTATCTCAAGCAACTCAGCAACAACACCCTCAGACTTAGTATTAGTGTGTACCACATCACCATTGAGTAGCCTCTCAGCATACTCCCATTCAATACGGTCCTTATATACCGGGTCTTCGAGGACTTGATCAGCCAGCTTAGCCCACTCCTCAAAGTCCCTTGCTCTAAGATTGTTGGACACCCATTTTAGGTAGTTGGATGGCAGGGTTCCTAGCATTCTTCCCTTGTATTTTCCGAAGTCTATGATTCTGTCTCTTGCTGGGAGTGATGCAAAGGTAACTGTGAAACTCGAGGTTTTCGGCTTTTGGGAGCATGGGATGTTTGAAGGTCTAAGGAATGTATGCAAAGAGTTATGGCCTAGGAAAGAAGCCATGAGAGGTTTGTGTTGGTGGTGTGGATGATGTTTGATGCCTTATCTTAAGCCAATGTCAAGACAAGGCTAATTTTAAATTCCAACGGTTCCAAATAACTTTATAGTTATTACATTTATTTTATTATTATTGTTATAAACCGAAAATTGAGCCATTTCAGATGAAAAAGCCATATTATTCAAGATTATTTTTTTTGTCACTTATCTAATACGAAGTATAAATAATACATCACTTATGCTATCTTCATCTTATTTTATGAACTTATTAATCTGCACACAAATTACAAGACTAGACCAAACGTTTTTATAATTTCAAAATATATGAATTTTCATGTTTATAAAATTATGAATATTAGAAATTTGGAAAATACAAAATATTGACAAATCTTCGTTAGATAATGGTTTTTCTTATGTATCAGGTATTAGAGTACAATACAATCAAACAAAAAATTAGATCAAATCAGACAATACCAAACTTTTAAAGAATTCAGATCATTATCCCAAGTTCAAATCAGACCAGAAGTTGTTTGAAGGAAAAAACTAGTAAAAGTTTCAAATCAAACTATCAATAAGTTTCAAAAAATAAGCTGTGTGAGGGAAAACTTATACTCCGTATTCGAAGCAGTTCATATATGTACTGCATAAAATATTCGACTTTCATGGTAGCACATCTATTGAAAGCCATATGCATAAACAAATGTTAACTTGAATGAAATTTGTCATTCGGAATTGAGTGGTTGCAGGAGTGCTGGTCTGCTGGGCAGTAATAATAGTCTCAAGCAAGTAAATTTAAGATAAGATGTTGCACAAGGTTACAAGCTCTGATTACAGGAATATTGTAAATACAAATACTTGAAGAAACGCAATACCTAGCAAAAAGAAACCTAGAAACGATTTGCTGCCCAATGTACAAGGAGTCTGATAATGAACTGTTTAGAAGAGTAAAATAAACAAGATACTTAGCCAGGTCCAACTTTTGGAATGTCATAATGCTCACTCAAGTTGGCTAGATACTGATTGAAGTCATCTAGACGGTCACGATGGGAATTCTTAGACATTTTTGAATACTTCTGGACATCAAGCTGCTCTCTCTGCTCTATGTATCGTTTTTCAGCTGGCGTCAGATGATCAGCAAAATTTGGGGCCTTTCCTTTCCCCGTTGACTTGTCTGATTCATTGTTGTTGTTCTCCTCTACATTGGTAATAGCAGATTCGGCATCTTCTCCTACACCAGAAGCCAATATAAGGTGGTGAAAAAATCAATAGATTTTTTAGTTCCTATATCAGTAAAACTAGCACTAGCCCATAACTCCACAAGTACTACATAGAAGATTATATAAACTCATTACTCTGTCAACCTTGAAGGGAAGGAAAGGAGACTGAACATGCCTATTATTTGCCAAATGTTGTAACAAAAGAAATAATCTCAGGAAAGTGATTTTGTAATGCAAAATTTATGAAGGCCTAACTTGGTATCTTTAATGACAGGAGGAAGTTTATTGGTCTCGCACTCAACTGTTTGAATAGCAAGGAGAATCTAATTTTTTTGATAATTGTAACTATGTATCAAATGTTAAATTAACAAGCTGTAATACAATGCAAAAGCCACTGCCAAAGAGAGGCCATGGAAAACAAGTCACTCCCATTCTTATCAAAATTCAGTAGCAAGGGCTGTTTACCTGAATTGAAACTAAGTTACAGTCAGATTTCCTACAGCACCGATGTGTTCACAGTAATGAAAATGTTCATGCCTCTCAAAGCCACTTTCACAGACAATGCCAATGGTTTGGGCTGCCATGGCAATAAATCACCATCGCGGTAAGATCAAAGCCTTTACAATGTGGTTATGATACGGCACTATGACCAATATAATATTCTGCCTCTAGAAATAGGACAATAGTTGGAAAGGCAACTCTCACTCACTTAAGGGTATTAGTGCAAATTGTAGTAATACTGATATATGCCGTACTTGGATAAGAATACTGTCAGGCAGCACTTAACAAGCAAAATTCCAAAGAAGATCATAGGATGAATGAAATATTCAGGAAAAAAAACATAAGATGTCTTCTTCAAAGTTCAACCAGCCAAAGAAAAATATGTATGTGGCTGCTGTTATTTCAGCATGATAAAAACTGGAAATTTTGTAAACACAAATGCACCTAAATGTTGCAAACCACGAAGAATATGTATCTGTAAAAATTGAGAGACTATATGTAACACAAGAAACTGAGATCAAATCATGGCACAAAAGGAAATTATACAGCTCCAGAGTCTGGTATGAAGAAACTGTATAGACAATAGACTTTAACCATACAAGACATGATTTTCATATTTTAAGGTGTCAAACAAATAAGAAAAAAAGAGCAATAAGCTCGAATAATTACAATGCTAACTAACCATCTATTTTCTTACCTTCTTTAGTTTCTATCTTCTCATCTTCTTTTATTTCTGAAACTTCATCATACTGTTTCTTTTGTTTCTTCTTCTTCTTTATGCCCCCAGTCTTCACATCCAAGGCTTTTCCTTTTAGTTTCAGCTTACCACCAATAACATTGTCATATGCTGACATATTATCTGGAAACAGGACAGCCAGATATCAAATTCCAACATTCACATTATAAATAAAAATTAAGCTGTGCTTTTGCTTGAAAGCATTCATGTTAACACTGCCAAGGTAAGATTATGGTAAACATTGCATCACATCAGCAAACTTATGAAATTAATAACCATTTCCCACTTCATTTCGCCTTAGACGACATAATTTTCATCTTCACTCATGTTCACATACGTCAAAGACTCTTGAAGTCAGTACAACAGTAACGAATGACACAAAATAATGAATTCCTTATGTTTACACTTAAAGAACATATTAGATGAAAAGGCACTCTGTTTCCAATAAACTTGTTAGAGTCAACTATAACCAAGATTTCCAAGAACCAGTCATACGAGGCTGTATTGTTGTAACTCTTTAAGGACGACGCAGGCAAAATTCATAACAGGAATCAACCTCACCGATCCAGCTATGAAAATGAAGTAATGGCCTTTAGATTTTGTAAAAACCACAAGCCAAGAAAAGATTCCAAATATCCAAAACCCCTTCAAACACCCGTCATCCAACACCTCAATTATATATACGAATAGGCACATTCGAACACGACCATTACATAAAGACTGCACAGGCCTAACACCGTGATTACCCTACAAACACCCATCATCCAACACCTCAATTATATATACGAATAGGCACATTCGAACACGACCATTACATAAAGACTGCACAGGCCTAACACCGTGATTACCCTACAAACACCCATCATCCAACACCTCAATTATATATACAAATAGGCACATTCGAAAACGACCATTACATAAAGACTGCACAGACCTAACACCATTCCAATAACACCATAGGAGGCATCTCCTAGTTTCATTCTTGGTGGAAAAAGTAAATTTCCACTACATTTGCACTTCATAAAACAAAGAAATTATATCTGCATTTTACCTTATTTGAAAATTTACTTAATTCACCTAAATTTCATAATACACATCCAACTTTAGTGGTCAACACTCAAACCCATTAACAGTAACCTCGAATTTGTGAAAAAAAACAGTGAACATTTATTCTATGATAAGCTTTCTTCAAAATTTTGGATACCCAACAACAAAAAAAAATCAAATTAGCGGAAAGACCTAAATTTGGGAGTTCCTTAAACTGCAATAACAATGATAAATTGAAAACCCTAATTCGTCTAGTTAGTCCAGAATTATCAAATGAAGAAGTTGAAGGGCGAATTAACAGAGCAAATTACAAAATAAAAACTGAAAATTTAATTGAGCTTACCAACATAAAATTGAAAAATAAAATATTAATTGAATACGAAAGTGTTGAGAATATAAGAACATAATTAATTACCTAGATGAAATTAATTTCTGGAAAAATTTGAATATGCCCCAAATCTTTCTTCCTCGATTTTCTTACTTTGATCCTCAATCCCTCAATTTGGGGGAAACAAGAAGGGAGGGGCGCGGCTTTTAGGCTTGTTTATATTATAACCTTGTTGTGCTATGCACCTAGCTCTAAGTGCTCCCGATGTGTATTAATGAATTAATCTGTACTCGGTAATGATCTCATTAAGATAAGCATAATGTAAGTACGAAGTAATTTGATTTCAAAAAAAAATATAAGTGCGAAGTAATTAAAATAATATATGAACTGTTAACTTGTACTTTTTAAACCAACAAATCAAGTTTACCGATCTCAATTTACTTGTATTATGGCATTGTGGTGAATTATTAGAGAGGTTTTACGGTTTTTTAATCATTACGGGTATGTTGATGACGGAAATAATACTATCTTTTAGGAGTGACGCAAAGATTGTTATCTTCCAGTCATGTTTTACATTGAGAGGCAAGGTCACACTATATGGAGTACTTGGTGATTATAGTTTATGGTTGCACGATATCTATTTTTGGTTTGGGTAAACGGTATAGATGGTTATGTGTTATGTCACTGTTTTATCAGATGTTGTAGTTTTGATTTTCTTTGAAAATAATGCAGATGTTGTATACAATGTTGCATGCTGATGGCTCTATATCTCAAACTTAGCTATACATGAAAAGACATGGTTTATAAGGTTTCACTAAAAATGGCCTCAACCCACTTTTCATGCAATTCAAAAATCAAGTGTCATATTTTCCAATATGTCTATAAGTAAATAAGAGATAGGAGAGAGTTGGATATAGAATAAATAAAGCTATATTAAAAGCATTTATTTGTAAATCGCGTCATAAATTTAATTATATGAGAGGTTAAAACAATGTGACAACTAATTCTGAACCATATAAGATCCTGATATTTGTTGATCTTCTTTTGTGTGTAGCCCATAACTTGTACATTTGATTCATATGAAATCTACCTAGTAATTTTATCAGTACTAAACTATATGTAGCTTCATTGATGCTTTTTTTCTTTTATTAGTAATTTTATTAGTACTAAACACTATATGTAGCTTCATTGATGCTTTTTTTTTTCTCTTATCATGCATGGACTTTGGTGGTAGATAGATTGACTGATTTTACTTGTTTTTCAGCCATTCAAGATTGTTTGTAGTTCTATTGTTACAGCTTCAGCTTAGTTAAGTTCGGACCATGAAAAAAAAAAAAAAAAAAAAAAGCTCATATAAGGTAAGTGTAAGTGAAAATCAAATGTATTGGACTCACCCTCGTGTCCTTGACTTTGTTTCAGCCCTTTCAGGTTTGGAGTTTTCAATCGCAACTGTATAACTATTTGGGAAGATAATTTCAACAGCAAAATACCTTTACTGTCATCTATGAGACTATAAATTGGCAGTTTTCTTGGCACTAAATGTTTCTTCAGAAACTTTAAAATAGTATGAGGTGTATGGCAAGGTTATGAGACTCTCATGTTAATGTTTGTGTTAGTTGTGTATATCATGAAGTTCTTCTGGTGGGAAGCTGGGTGTTATAACAAGGCACCACTGACATTACCCATGATCGAGGTTTGTAGTTTCAGCATCTCATAAGTTTTCCACATTTGGCCTTCACTTGCCGTGTCTATTTCTGGTCGTATCCTTTCCTACTTCTGATCTGAATGCAATCTTCTTATACATATCTGAGACTGATATATTCTTTCTTTTGGAGTGCTGTTCAAATTTTATCATGCAGAATTGCTGAGTGCTGAAGTAGGTAGATACTCCTGCAGATTGTAGGCTCATACATTCATGCTACAGCATCAAGAGAAATCAACACTAGTTTTTCTCTTGACCTTAGGATTGTGGAGTTTCTTATTAATTTGTTATATTGTGTAATTTTTCATTTTCCTCAAAGCATTACAATAATGTTCCGGTGGTGTTCATCCCCAAACACCCCTCCCCTTTGATGTTATTTTTTACAATTGATAAAAATATTTAAATTTAGGATGTCTAGAAAAAGTTGTCACATTTTCTAAAATAATAATGGTTTATGATTGAATTTTCTAACATCGGAGATTAAATTAAGTGATAAAAAGAAAGCTAACTCAACTTTTATAAAAGAATTCTAGTTTAATCCATCAAATGGGTTACAAGTGTTTATAAGATGTTTTATACATTTGGCTTTGCTCCTCACTTTCACCAAACACTCCAAACATATACAACAAGTGTTCTTATTTCTCCCATATCTCTCTCTTGTATTGTGCTTTTCCTCAACAGTCCCTTATTTCTAGTCATATTATTCACCATCCTTCTGGCGGACCGAGCTAAAAGGGTTGATGACCGATGCTGATCCAAGTAAGACACTGCATTCATATTCATACTGTGCCTGTTACTCTACATAATTCACTTTAATCTGTTCTATATAAACCTCCCTCCGCCTGGATTTGATGTGTCACATACACTATTTTATTATGTCCAAAAATAAATGTTGTGTTTGCTCACTACGTGAATTAAGTGATGAAATACTGCACACTCTATCATTACAAGGTTTCTGCTGGTATTATAGCAGGAATTACGGAGTATTACAATTTGAGGGTTGTTAAGATAGGCTGTGTAAACTTGAGGACTGCACACTATTCTTCACTCCCAGGAGGAATGGGAGTTCTTCGAATCAACAAATTCAACACCCATCTAACATTCCCTCCTTAGGTTATAAATGAAAAGGTTGAATTGATAAAATTCTCTATCTAGCTAAAAATGATCATAGCAGTTCAGTGCCTGCTGCAATTGTCTGACATCAGATATTAATACTGAAGAAAACCACTCCCCTGAAGGATGAAATCTAGAAGTTTCGAGGAGAAAACCCGTGCCCTCTTAAGGTGCAAAGGTAAGATTCAGTAATGTATTTAGTACTACAGCATTTAAACATCAAACCTCTTATATTCCCCAAAGAAACAGGGAAGATGCCCAATATACTACAGACATTGAATATTTACACATAATTAACAGAGTTCACGACTTAAATTAGAAAGTACAACATTGAGCGATGATATAGCAAAGCTACGTAGCTATGACTTAAATTACATAGCTCATACAAAAGATAATCTCAATAAATTCCCGGAACAATCCTGTAGGGAACCTTGTCACAGTAGGTTTTCCAGTACTTGCCATACCTGCAAATGGGCAAAGTGTCACAAACAACATATTAATTTCAGAGCTTAAAAGAAAAGAAAAGAACCTAAATAGAGAAATAGGATGGCAATTTGACAAGCATGCAGTGATTCTTGGACAAACACGGGTCCAGCCCCTTTATTTATCAAGAGAAACAAGCATGCAGTGATTCTTTGCTATGGTGAAAACTTGACTTATATAGTAACAGTACGTATTCCTTACTTGGATCGGCACCGATCGTCATCCCTTTTAGCTCGGTCCACAAGGAGGATAGTGAGGAATATCACATAAAAGTAAGGAAGAAACTGCAGAAACAAAGCACAATACTACAGTTCAGTCAATGGAATTTTGACAAACACAGGTCTATTAAAAGAAAAAGGTTTACCAGAACATTTACTTACATGATTAAAAAGAGCTGGAACCGTCCAGAAAAAAGCAGCTAAAATTTCTGGGACATAATGAAAATGTCGAGATAAACCCCACCTGTGAATCAAAGATGTAAAATCACCGAGTTACATAAAGCTGTCCCTGAAAACAGTCAAAGACCACCACCTCATGGTCCTATCCCAGGAAATGCAGAACTGAAAACTATGCTCTGCAAGACGTAATGATGCACAAGACTAATCATAATGACCAAGAAACATACCATCCTGAGGTCAAGAGAAGGCTAGTCTTGGATTCTCCTGATGTTGTAGTGTAAGAGGCTTGAATCTGTAAATGATTTATCTACTTTAGCATGATAGTCTTTATATAAAATATGAAAAAGACAAAACCAGAGATACAGGATTGCGTACAAAGGGGAAAAAGGAAGTGTAATAGACTAACACCGGGTCTATAACAAAAAGTAAAAATGCAAAAGTAAAGGTGAAACGGGGAAAATTTATGGCAATTCAAGATGAACCTTTGATGGAGGTTTCCCCCAAACCAAGCCTTTTCCATTAGTACGGCGAAATTCCTGTCTCTGTCTGTCACAGTCGTAATTGATATATATGCACAAAATACCAGCCACAAGAATGTATAGTGAGAGCTGCAGCACAGGTAAAAAGGATTGTCAGGAGATGATATGTGATCCATTTTTCTACAATGATGAACTACTATACATTGACTCTACTCAATCTAGGATACTTCTCATAGATACAGTTACCTGAATTCCAAGATGAACAGGGTGGTTAACCAAATACATGCCCGGAGAAGTATACACTGATGGGACCCACACCAAGCATCCCCAGCAAATGTAGAAACCAGCTGCCAGAATCAAATTTGCAGAATATAAGACACAGTATAAAAAAATAAAAAAATAAAATAAAAATAACAGAGGCAGAATTCCAACATTCAAAGTACGCTTTGATATCATTTCATTTTTGATATTACAAAAAAAAAAAAACACCTAATCAAGAAAATTGCCTGGAAAATCTCCACATTTATTATATGTTATGGAAAACTACTAAAACTAGAAAGGATCATTTTGCTCTGAGAATTCAACCAACAAAATAGGTTCGAGGTTTTGAGCAAAAATAATGACACTATCCATGACCATTTAGAAATTTCAGTTATAGGATATTATATACAAATATACAATGTATATAAATGTTAGATAAACAGATTAAATAGGTACAAGCTAGATTGCTTGGCTTTTCTTGTTGCTCGAAAGACATGTGATACAGCTAAATTTTCATCCAGGCTCAACCTCAACTATATATCATCCTAATAATAAGACTAACCAATCAACCAGATAAAAAAAATTGGAAACAACAAACCTCGGTCATGGGCAATGTCCATGGTATTCCAATACCCAGCTTCCCACCAGAAAAACTTTGTGACATACACTACCATTAAAATGGTATTGACCAGCATGGAATCAGCAACCTTTCCATACATCTCATACTGTAGATATTAACGCCCAAATAAGGAGAAAAAGCTTTCAGTACCAATAAAACATAAACATTGACGTGTACAAGTGTTACAAATCAAACATCAGCTTCCTAAATTTTAATAGAAAATGATTTCCATTACAAGTAATTTTGTTGCTGTTTTTCAGTTCTTCCTTTTTATAGAGTACACCTATGGTCAAAGACGATTCTAAACCAAATAGCTTTTGTTTGAAAATTCAAGCCTAAATTATGCACATATTTGACATTCAGATCAGAAGCATCTCAGAAGAGTTACCTGCTTTATACAGTAGGTCAAGGCAAGAACTGCCCAAGACATCATCCCAAATCTGCAGTTCGTGAAAACTTTAATGTCGAAGTTTTTACCAATTCGTGGATATAGCTCCATACCCTAGGAAACACAGCAATCACAATATCAGTGCATGAATGATTCTAAACATCATGTTCAACGCACATGAGGTTCTGTAGGATCTAATTTATATCAAAGCCACTATATTTCTAATTATCAGGAGGATAAAATAGTAAGTTCGCGAATTATTCAAGGTCATGTATACTAGCAGCCCATAAAAATGGAATTTGTCAGTAAGGTAAGTCTCTAGTCCATGTCAGATACATTCCTGGGTTAAAATCCACCAAGTATGGTAAGTTTCAAGTCTTTCAACATTCTCCACGCAAGCATGGGTTTATAATGTGTATCCAATGTAACACATGAAGCGAAGCACGAATTTTAACATGAAAAAGGGAAGATGAGAGAACAAATACAGATGTTATTATGGTTCAGTTAAGCTCACCCAATAGAAATCAATTATGAAGTTTCCACAGGAACCAGAATCAGATGACGATGGTGCAACATGCCCCTACATGTGAACCAGCACTCTGATATTAAAGACCATGCATGATTAAAAGAAAGGAAGATGTCAATTACATTCTTTAAAAATAACACACTTTTATGTACAGGAAGATGCAAAAGATGAAGCTTCCAACTATCAGTGTTGAATATATCTCTCCCAAATGATCATACACGATCGCTGGATTGAAGATACCAAACCTGAAAGCAGACCGAGAAAATGAACAGTTGGATAAAATGTAATACATGTTAGTGCCACACATTGATTGTTATTAACACAGGTTCTGTTAACTATGTTAACAAGGAAGCAAGGATCTAACATGCCTTCCAAGAATAAAATTTATGGTGTATGACATGCCAATTTTAAGAAATATCAATAATAAAGATATTTGTTAAACTCTCCCTTTTCTTTATATTTTTTTTTTTTTTGTTAAACTCTCCCTTTTCAATCTTAGCAAAATAAACATAAAAGTAAGCATCCCAGCTATAAACTAAATACATAGTAACAGAAAAGTGACATACAAGCAAGATCTCTAGACAACATGTACAAACTTCATTAGTCTACAAATGTAGTATGGGAATCATAGGAGCTACTGAAACTAACCGAGCAATTTTGACTTTTGAGCACCATTAAGTCACTGTATGATACTTTGATATATGACCAGCTTTTTTGCCTTCTTTTATACGAAGTATAAAGTTTTTTAAAAACCCATCCCTATTATACCTTACACTAGACATTAAAGATTCAAGGTACAAGATTTGAACTTGCAACATTAGACACAAAATCCACTTTGCCTCTACAATTTTGTAACAGAAACTTAAAGTGGTGTAAATATTTAGCCAGTTATTGCCATGGAGGAAAACTGGGACAATTATAGGAACAGAGTGATTATTTTAAAGTTTAAAATGATGACTTGAGAATCTGTAAAAAGTGAGAACAGTGTTACTCACCACCAGAGCCCAAGATAAGTGATCAAAGTGACAAAATATGCTTGCATTCCATTAGCCTGCAATAGACACAAAAGGAAAGCCATAATATCAGCGAGACAACGTACAGTTTCATAATATAAATGTACACATAAGATTATATTTCAATAACAAGAATAGCCATAACACACCTTGTAAACAGGACGATTTCCGGTGGGAGATATAGGGCCTTCCACCCTTTTTCCAGGTAACAACAGCTGAAGTGCAGCCTCAAATGCTCCATAACAGAAGATGATTTTGCATGCAGTGAATGTGGGTTTAGGCCACATGTCAACAAAACCTTGTAACCCATGCTCCCTCAAGTATAGCCAAGTTTGAGAGATAGAGCCATCAGCATGTACCATAGTGTACCATCTGCATTGGACAGAAAATTTTCAACTTAAACAGAATTCAACATAGCATCTCAGCTACAAAATAAAGAAGCGGAAATAAGTTCCAAAGCTCAGATCACATCTGCAGCATAGATTATTATCACTGAAATAAGGTGCGTAAAAAGTCTAAGAATAATACTTGATGTGTCAGAAAGAGAACTTTGCTTGTTCTTACATCAAATTAGGAAACTCAGTTGGATTACTTGGGTACCCAAAAAAACAATCTCAATCAATGCAGAGCTCGGAATTCTGAATCTACAGACCACTTTCTAGCAGATTCTTTGACATGAGACATTCATTAGGCTAAAGTAGCAAGATGCAAAAACTATCAGCCATAAGTTAAAAATAAAAGTTTAACCCATTCGAGCAGCAATTATTGTTCTACTTGTTTCTGTATGAATTATGGACCATTTTCTTTCACTAAACAGGTCCAAATATTTCTAAGATTCCAGTACTTCATGAGGTAAGGTCAAGTCAATCGGGAAGAAATGCCTATAAGTTATAGCAAGGATACTTGAGTTACCACAGAATTCAAAACTCTCACATGTAAATAAATTACATCTAAAGTTAATACTGATGATTGCCATATATGAATATCTAACAATGCAAATCTGCTTTACAATGTTGGCGAAGCTAATCTTCCACTACTATATTTTTTCATTTCTATCGAACCTTAAAATCAGCAATACAGATTTTCCATTGAGTACAGTCATTTATAATTTGCTAGCTAATCAGCATACTGTGCAAATGCCCTCAAAGAAATGTGCACATGGGAATCAATAGGTTTAAAAGACCGAGTTAAAAGACAAAAAGAAGGTAATTGTCACATACGGGCTTTTACAAGAAAATTGTAGATGTCTCCATCGATTGATAACTCCCAAGGCAATGTTCTTTACTCGATAAAAATCAATTTAAATATGAGAAAAAACTAATCAAAATGATCAACAACCATTTTTTACTCGATAAAAACAGCTTAATTGAATAAAATAAATCGATTAAAAACATCATGTGGAGTGAATCGAGCCTAATAACATGTCATAAACATCGTTACGTTGAAAGTTTCATATCTTTTAATCGATTGTGTAAAAAATTAGATCATCCTTACGGCCACCATACCACATGTAGACCATTTGCCCATTTGGTATACAAAATAACTGAATATTAAATCCATATTAAATTCCAATAGAGTCAAGAAACACCTGAAAGTAAAGCAGCATCAACACCAAAAAAGGACAAGCCAATTATATAAACATGGTTAAAAAAAACACCCAATTAATTATTTAAACATAGACAAATAGTAAATTAGTAACCAGTAAGTGCGGAGTATGTTTTAACACTATTAAGCCATTGACAAATTACACCTTATTAAACAATTGAAATAATTATCAAACATGAAACCCAGAAATTTAAAACCCCATTAACAAATCTATCAATCTGAAATATAAATTATAATTATAACAACAACAACAGTAATAATAATAATTAAACTCATGAAATATAACTCAAAATCCATCCATTTCAAATCCCAAAAAACATTAAAAAAATTAATACAATTGATGATCAAAACGAGGGTTATCACAGATCTAAACCAAAAATCAATTCAGTAAACAACAAAAATTAGAAAACACTAAAACTTAAACCAAAAACATCAAAAAAAAAAATAAAAAACTTAAAGAAGAAAAGGGTAAATTATGCTTACAATAGAATAACAAAAGGTGGGCAAAAGGAGAGAAGTGATAACATTGATGCATAAGTGACAATGGGAGAATGCACAGTTTTGGATTCCGCCATTGTTGCTTCTTGCTTCTCTCTTTCTCACTCCTAATTCTCTCTCTGAAATTACAATCTACAAAAAAAATTGGTGGGTATTCTTAAAAGCTTGATTAATTATTAATTAGTGTGATAATGAAACCAATTAAAAAACCAATTGGACTTTTCTACGCCTGAATTTTGAATTTTTTATATATATATACTTCGTATTTTTTTTTCCAAAATGATGGCTGCTTTTTGCTTATTTCACATGAAATAGTGAATTTCTCCGTACCATGTTAAGTGAACTCAGGTGCTGATAATAAAAAGCCCAAATGTGTCTATTTTTGTGGTGGGGTCATCTGGACTTATGGGGGTGTATGAGGCTATGTGTAGTGGTAATCGTAATTGTAATTGTTAATCAAATTTAGTTTTGTATAAGTCTTATTTTAAGAGAATATATTGAGCTTTTCGAGTATTTGTTAATTTTAGGTAATGTCCAAGCCATTGTTCATAGCTAAATACCGGTTACAATGTATGTTTCCTTCCCCTCAAAAAAAAAATGTATGTTTCCTTGTACACATATGAGGCACTATATAAAAAATATCCTATATATAAAATGAAAAGGCCTTTTGGGTGATAAATTTCACTATCCCCAAATTAGCCTTCTCAAGTTGCAAAATTACCAATTAAAAAAAATTAAAAAAAAAAACTCTATCATAACTACCCAATAATAATCACTCCCTTTCCACATAAATTTACATATTCAACTGTTTTCACTCCCCATAAAATATAAAACCACTTTATTATTTTTTTTTCATCTAATTTCTTATATTGTACACGCGTAGCGTGTATCTCTTAACTTGTTTACTTAATTTCAGTTCAGTTCAGTTTTGCTCCAATCAGTTCAATTCAGTTTTGCTTCAATCAATTCAATTCAGTTCCTAATTTCTCTCTCTCATAAAATATTCAGTTCAATTCAGCTCTAATTGGTTCAATTCAATTCAGTTCACTTCAGCTCCAATCAGTTCAGTTCAGTTCAGCTCAGTTCAGTAAATATGAACAGACCCTTATTATAGTTGTACAATATATTTATTATTATAGGCCCAACTAAACAAGAGACAATGATATACGCCATTAATTTTGTGTGGTTAGTCTTGTCAAATTTTAGACCACTCCAAAGAGGTTAATTATAACGGCCCTTGTGTAGTTGTGTTGCTAATTATGGTGCTTTGTTTATAATTTGTTTTATAATTAATTAAATTATAAATGATGTTTTGGTATGAGGTACATGATGAATAGTGAGAATGTTGCAAAGTACTCCCCGAATAGACAAAAATTTGTTGGCCTTGGTGGAACTTGCCTTGACAAACTTGTGGATTGAGACTTTGCATTAACGTTTACTCTTGACTTTGTGACTTGTAAAATGGAGCAAATGGAATCACGTTTTTGGTCTAAATGAATGGCCCCACTTGATGAGCTTGTTGTGTGACGACAAATTCAATGTTTGTACAAACTCTATTGTATAACCCAGCTTTTTAGGCCTAGCTCTAGGTACACAAATAACACAATACGGTTAGATGGGTCATGTGGCTAAGTCCGAATCTGATTAGCTTGATCCGAGTCGGATCTGATTGAAAATTTTCACATCCTAATTCAGCTTGTTTATTTAGACATTCGATAAAAGCCGCCCCATTTATGTAAGATAATAATATTCGCTACTAATTTCCCATATAAATTTCATTTCTTACATCATATTAGTCGGATTCGATAGACTTTGTGGAAGGCCCAAGTCTGATCCGCCTCCTTTTCAGATTCGCATCTATTTAGTCAGATTGAATCTAAGTTCGATTCGAATCAATTTAAAAAATTATAGGGATGACAATTCAATATTGCTCCTAGATAAATTTTAATTTATATATTCTAAGAATACAAAAAATCATCAAAATGAATAAATTTAAAGAGCAGTAGGGTGGAGGGTGGCAAGAAGCCAGCGGCAGTAGGACCGTCAACATAAAGGATGGAGGTGTTCTTCATAGTTGAGGTAGAAATCCTTGGTGCTTGAATAAATGGTACTATGGTAGTGGATGTTTATTAAACAAGAAACTGATACCTTGGTTTTAAGTAAGTATAAACCGCTACTTCAAGTAGCAGTTTTCCACTTAAATCGTAAAATAATAAAATTCCCTTGAATTGATGATGTGGACGGAAAAGTGAGAATATTTGAAAAAAGACTGTATTTATGCTTTTGGACTGATCGTCAATGATATATTAAAGATAGCCTTTTCATTGCCACGGTTGTTCGTACTCCTTTACAAAGAGAGATGGTAATCATGTTGCACACGAGTTAGCAAAGCTTAGTTCTATTTTTAATTAGAGCTGTCAAAAGTTGACCCGACCCGAAATACCGACTCAAACCCGATTATTAACCGACCCATCTGAACCCGAAAAAATGGTGACCCGAACTGAAACCAACCCTATTAATTACCCGAGTATGTGAGACCCGAACCCGAACATGAATTAAACTGGAGATGACCAGACCTGAATGTAACCCGTAAATTATTGACCTGAATCAAACTCGACTTGAACCGAAATTGACCCAAACCCGTTTTAACCCGTCAAAACACCGAATTTAGCCAGACTTATTACTAACCTGACCCGAATTTAACCCGACCCGTTTCTAACCCGACCCGAATTTAACCCGACCTGTTACAAACCTAACCCGAAATCAACCCGACTTGTTATTGACCTGACCCAAATTCAAACCGACTTGTTATTGACCCGACCGAATTTTACAAGACCTATTACTAACCGACCCAAAAATGCAACCCGATCTGTTACTAACCCGACTCAAAATCAACACGACTTGTTATTGACCCGACCTAAATTCAACACAGATTGTTCCTAGCCCTATTTCAAATCACCTTAAATGCAATTTAGACCAGCTTATTATTGTTGATCAAAACATTCTGTCTAGGGAGACCAAGTCGGTTCAGGCCAACAAAAGAAAGGAGTATCATCCTCAAATTTAGAGTTAAATATAATATATATTTGTTGTATGGTCAAAGGAGATAATTATCTTCCTAAATTATAAACTATAGTTCCCTACTATATTGCCATATATATTATAGTCAAAGGAAATAATTAGCTTGATAAAAATGATAATTATCTATTTATAATTAGTTAAACCCAAACATGACCTGACTTGGAAATGATCCGTCCTGATTGTAACCTGCAAATTATTGACTTGAACATAATTCGACTTGAATCCGAGAATGACCCGACTTGAAAATGACTCAACCTGATTATAACCTGCAAATTATTGACATGAACTGAACCCGACTTGAACCCGAGAATGAACCGATTTGAAAATGACCCAACCTGATTATAACCAGCAAATTTTTGACTTGAGCCAAACCCAACTCAAATCCAAGAATGACCCGACCTAATAATTATAACCCGCAAATTATTGACTTGAACCGAACATGAGAATTACCCTGACCCGTGAAAACCCGAATTAAACACGACCTATTGTTCACCCGACCCGAATATAACCCAACCTGTTATATATTAACCCGACCTAAACCCGATAAGAAGTATGATCCGACGTGACCTGACTAAAGCATGACCCAACCCAAACCCACCCGTCTACCCGAATTGACAACTCTACCCGAAACCTCCAAAATTTCTCAAAAAGTGTGGATATTAGTCTTCAATTTCGGAATTTATGGACTTTTTTTCACCCGGAAATAAAAATTGCCGAAATGTTTACCATGGTCTCTAATACCCTCCGGGAGTCTATTTGATTGGATGGAACCATCCAATTTACCTTTAAACGACCAATTTACTGATTTACAACTTGCACCAATTTCATTAACTCATGTCTACCACGAACATTTATGACAACGTATAATGATCATATATGGTTCCAAACCGGCATTATATGACCCCGAGATGTATCCCCTAAAATCTCAATGCTTTTCGACACCGGGCCCCTAAACATTCGAAATTTCTCAAAAAGCATGGATATTAGTCTTCTATTTTGGAATTTTTTGACTTTTTTTTTGCCCGGATATAAAAATTGCCGAAATGTTTATCATGGTCCCTAATACCCCCCGGGAGTCAAATTGGGTGGGTGGAACCATCCAATTTTCCTTTAAACGACTAATTTACCGGTTTACATCTTGCACCGATTTCATTAACTCAAGTCTGTCACGAATATTTATGACAACAAATAATGATCATATATGGTTCCAAACGACATTATATGACCTTGAGATGTATTTTCTATAATCTCAAGGCTTTTCGAAACCGGGCCCCGAAACCTACAAAATTTCTCAAAAAGCGTGGATATAAGCCTTTATTTTTGGAATTTTTAGACATTTTTTGCCCGAAAATAGTAATTGTCGAAATGTTTACCATGGTCCCTAATACCCTTCGTGAGTCCAATTGGGTGGGTGGAACCATCCAATTTGCCTTTAAACGACTTATTTATCGGTTTATAACTTGCATTGATTTCATTAAATCAAGCCTGCCACGAACATTTATGACAACATATAATGATCATATATGGTTCTTGATACGTGTCGTTTACCGTATTAAATTAATAATTTATTTACCTAACTAGACCTTCAAAAATATTTACAAGTAGTAAAAAGGACAAGAAAGGGTCGATCCCACGGAGAGATTGTTAATCTACTATACTCGAGTAGCTCGTAAAATACAATAACTATTTACACTATTTACATGTGATGGTGGGTTTAAATGATAATAATCAACTAGTACTATAATGAAAAAAAAAATAGAATTTAAACTACTATATACAATAGACTACATACTTAACCAACTCCATTAATAACATTTACTCAAATTAAACTATTGGTGATTATAATAAACCGGACTCGCATAATTAATCAACTTAATTACCAGACTAATTGTAGAGACTTTAGTAACAAAGACTCCTGTCTTCCCTTATTTTAAACCAATTTTGAACTAAGCCGAAATTGACTCTAAACCAATCTAATTAACACAAATATGGTCGCAACTTGCATGAATTAGTCTTGGCAGCATTAATATCTAGGAGACCTCATTAGTCCTAACTAATCCGATCACATAAATGTCAGATTATTTAGATTGAAATTGCTCTCTAACTTAAACCAAACCATAATCGCAGACTCGATTTAAAATTAGGTACTCTTCTATACAATTTAAACTAAGCTCAAGCATATAGATAGCAATACTTTACAATCCAACAATAGAAAGGTAACAATCATA